TGTTTTCTATAAATTAGAAAGCTGTGGTAAATAAGATATAAGTAAGAGTATAAGAGTATAAGAGTTGACGATGAAAAGCTGTATTCTACAACCATTTTGAACCTTTTTTAAAAGGTACACTGTGTAACTTTTCCAGTATAGGGCATAGACTGTATATATAAATGGACATAGCTAGATAGGAAGTGAGCATGGGAGCGTTTCTGGCTCCATCGATTCAGGCTCCTGGTCACGTTCTAATGTAAAAACATGCTGCTGTCAGGCTCATTTTGGTCTTAAAATGTTCGTATTACCAGCTGTACATGATTCTGGTGTTTTTATTTCACTATTTTGTCCATAACTAAAGTCCCATTCCTGACATTGGCTCCAAATTCAGCTCTACAACTGCAGGCCTTGATGAGCTTCATTTGACTGGAGCCATCACACTTTCCACTTCTTTATTCCACCTGCTTGACTCTATTTAGATGTTACTACTTTACAAAGAATGTTTCATCATAAATGGCAGTAGACTTTTTATATATATTCAATTGCTTGCGCTTTTATTTCTGAAAATAGACATTTATTTAATTCTTCATTTAATTCAAATTTATTTATTTAATTCTTGCTGTGAGTTATCAGGATTGTCTGATCACAGATCTGACCTGTAACTTGGCCTGGTGGTTTGACCAGCTTGTCTCTATAAAGATCGAGACGTGTAATGTCATACTGCGGAACATTCAAAGGCCTAAACTCTATAGGCAAACTGGTAATATGTCAATGTTTTCTTGATTCGTTACACATTTTGCCAAGATTTTATTTAATAATTCAGTATTTTGTAAAGTTTCAGAGGAAGCTTTCAAACTGTTATTTTTTTATGGGTGAAATTAATGGAAAATTTACTTCTGGAACGATAGAAAGGTAGTGTCGTAGTACTCGAAAAGACCGCTTTCTTACGGTTTTAGTCACTTCTTGGACTCAAGCACATCTGGACTCGGTCTTGTCTGGGTCTGGATGGCGCTTGGTCTTGGTCTTGTCTCGGACTCAAGGTCTGACATTCGATGAGTGTGATCATACATGTATTTCATTACGGCCGGTAAATGTGCAGAGGCTAAATATCACAGCAGAACCAGTAAAATAATGTAACTGTAAATGTTATGAACTTGAAAAAACCCACCTGATTCACTTTGCAGTTGTTTTCTATAAAGTGCCTGTGGAAGTGGGATTAAAGAGAGGTTCTCAAACTGTGGGTCAGGGTCCAAAAAAGGTGCAGTACAGTTTGCTTGTCTTATTTAAAGCTTAAATGAACATTAACCAGATCAAATGGAGATAGATTTATAAAAACAATGATATATATGTGCCAAAATAACTGTAAAATGCAAATAAATGTAGGAAATGACAAAGATGGTCTCGATTTGTTCTCGATGAGCTGTGGTCTCAGTCTTGTCTCGGTCTCGACTAGGGATGGGCATGATTAGTCGATTAATCGATAATTGATCATTAAGAATTTCATTGATTACGTTCATTTTAATCGACAAACTGAATGTAGGTTGTTGTGTGTAGTGTGACCAAACAGGTCTGTACATGTGTCTCTGCACTCAGAAGGAGCGAGACACAAACAGTGGGTCAGTCTGCAACGTACCCAAGTGCAAATGTGTATTTAACGATGACTTGTACAAGAAATTCTACGCTTTCCGTTGCGTTCGGGACAAGTGTGAGTCCATGTGCACAGTGGATAAAGCAGCACATATGTTTCTGTGTCCAGTGGGAAAAAGTTTTGCCAGTTGAGAGTCGCTCAATGTCGATGACGAGTCCCCACCTCCCTCCCCCCGTACAGTGTCCTGGTTTTGACAAATGCAAATATGGTCACACTAACCTGTATTCCACTGAGTCGTGCCACATCAGCGCACAAGAGCTTTTTTTTTTTTCCTTCACTTAGTTTATGCAAATTTGCCATGTGATTTGAAGTTTCGTTTCTGTGAGAGTTGCACAAAACTGCATTAAACACATTATAATGTCAAACAGGCTGATGTGGCTCTAGAGTGGTTATGGTTTATATGTCGTAAAGTTGAATTTATTTATGCAGATTAGTAGTGCAGATAGTGATAATAATGATGATAAATTTTAATATAAAAAATGTTCATGATTAATCGATAATCGATCGTTAATTCTCCCGACGATCGATTAAGAAAATTGAATCGAATGCCCATCCCTAGTCTCGACCTTTAAAAGTCTTGGTCTCTCAGAGGTCTTGGTCTTGTCCTAGTTTCGGGGCCCTGTGGTGTGGGACTGGTCTTGGTCTTGTTTAGTGCACTCTTGACCACAACACTAGTGGGTGGTCACTGTTGAGTTCCATAGCCTTTTACTTTTAACCCTGAAAGCTTCTACTAAAGGTAACCTACAGCAGAGCAGACGTTGAGGTTTGTACTGGATGTAAAACGGTCATTCTCTGCATCAGTGAAGGTGGTTTATGGTTAATGAGAGAGAGCAGAGTTTTGAAACAGGAGCAGTGCACTTGTGTTGTAGCTGTCAGCGTTAGGCACATGATAAATGTACATTAGCTCGGCCCCTCGGCGTCAGCACCAGGTTCTCCTCTTGTCCAAACACCCATCTGAGACTTTACACGGTGTACGCTGCAATTTAACAACAACAACAACAATGTGATGCTAATATTGTTCAACACTGAAATGTCTGTGTGAAGCTCTCTGTGAAGTGGTTTTCAACTGTGGTGCACGGATTTAGACAAACTTTATTTATTCATGAGGGAAACACTGCAGCTCACATGGAATGACAAGACTTTTAGAACTTTTAACCATGCTGTTGTTTCCTCTTTTCATTTACTCTGTCAAAGTTATAGTTAGAGTGATTTGTCAGTGTTTATTCTTCTGTATCCAAGACGTCATTACGCTGATGAACCTCCACCAGTACATGCCCACTGTCACGTACTTATTTTATACAGTGGCCGACAGGGGTCAAGCGCACTGCAGCGGCTCAGCTTCAAGTACAGAAACGATGCAAATTCACAGGTACAAACCAAAAATGTGCTGCAAGAAACAACGACAAATGTATCATCATCAGATTTACCGCAAATAGAGAAACGATGCGAAAGCACAAAACGATCAAAAACCAATAAAACCACTGCAAACGAAAAATGCTGCATAAAGAGTCACTACAACGGAAGTGCTTCAGACCTGCAGGGGGCGCTCTCAGTGTAACAGCTTAATGGAGAGACACACCGGATGGAGAGAGAGAAAGACTTTGCCTGTGAGAGAGACAGAAAACAGCCAACTGGCTATAAACTATAAACTATAAACTACAGAGCGAACAAATTATTGTAATGGCTAAACATGCAAAAGTGTCGCCTTGTAAAGTCTGGCGTGATATACAATAAAATAAGCAGGTGTTTTCTTGGTTTCCATAATTTTGTCTTTGCATTATTTCTCTATTTGCAGCGCATTTGATGATGATACATTTGTCTTTGTTTGCACCTCATTTAAACTTGTGTTTGAGTTTGTGAATTTGCATCGTTTCTATACTTAAGCTGTTTTCTCTAACTGAGAGTCATTGGGCCGTTGCAGTGTGTTTGGCCCCCGTCGGCCACTGTAATTTTGTTCTCCTATTGTATTTTCTTGATTCAGCAGCGTCGCGTAGTCATTTTGGTACTATTGAAACATATTAAATGCAATATATTACAAATATGAAGGCAGAAGGTGAGGTACAGGAGGAGGTGCAGTACACACATACTTTAGAGTCATTTCAAGTTTGCATTGGTTTAATTTGGATCTGGTTAAAGAGGCACTAAGTAACGTTTTTGGTGAGGTGAGGGGGAGTCCATCACCTGCGAGTCTCCATGGAGATGGTACTTTGTCTGGATTATTCCATAGTATGACATTAAACTTGTGGGTCCGGTCAAGCAGTAACTGAGCGAAACAGGGGCAGATTTTTGACTTTCAAATGTCTCTTATTCAGAAACTAGAGGGACTATTGAAATAAGTAAAGTATCAGAATGTAGGAAAGAGTTACACTCCAACAGGGTCAAGTTAAACCTGTGATATTCTTTCAAGTTGTTGACAAAAAATTTAAAAACTCATGTCAGTAACGGAGGGAATGAAATATGCAGCACTTTTGGGCATTAAAACCAAACAGTGATAACTCTTGGTTCTCACTTACATATCCTTAACAAACTGGTTTGAATATTTGCTTCATATAGTTTTCTACCATATGGTACAAGATTAGGTTGAAAAACCTCTTACTTTTTGAATAATGAGATTTTTTATGAAGAAAGGTCATGGTAACGGAGGGAAAAGTAACGGAGGGAAAATTGTGCAAACAAGTAGAAGGTGCAGGATTTTGCATAATTTGTCAGTTTTTTTCTTCCGAATACTTTAATATTACTTCAAAATAAAAGGAAACTATTTCTATAAAATATGTCAGTCCTTCCAAGCAAATTTTTATCATTTTAAATATATATATTTTAAAATCATGTACCTTCATCAACAGTTCAAAGATGGAATAACACAAGATATGATGAAATACATCCATTTATTTACATGATTTGCAGGTCTCTGAAATTTGGGAAATAATTTTTGTTCCATGTTTCATACATGGTCTGTTTAAAACATATGGAACTTTAGAACCAAAAATGGTACAGAAAAAAGGTCAACAGTTTCATAAACTAGAGTACATATGTATCTGTTCAATACATTTTTATATCAGATGCATTAACTTGAATCTTTGGCCTTGCTGTTTACTTCTGCTTGACCGGGCCTTTGTATATCTTGCATTTATTCAATTACAGATTTTAATTATGGCTATAACATACATAAAAAATCTGTCTTCTTACTGTGTGCAGACTGGCCTCTTCACCCTGCTGAGAGATTACACAGACATACACCGTGTCTAAAAGTTATGAGATGTTAAATGGCAAAACAAATGTGTTCAAAATGCTTTCAAAGACCTGATTAATGCAGAAGATACAGAGCCCAGGTCACAGTGTTTCTCACAAAGTCTCTCTTTCTCCTCTGCAGCTGAAGAAACTCCTGCTGACTCCTCCCAACGTGCCCACAGGGGTTGACACAAACAAAGATGGCATCCACAGTCATCGCTATAGCAACAGGAGCCAGCGACTGGTCAAGCCTCTGGTCAAGGCAAGTACATCAGACGGAACCAGTGTCAAGGCAGAACCAGTCCTAGTACCAGACGGAGTATTTTGAGCTTTAGAGATGTAGACAGATTATTAAACCAGAATTTCTCAAATATGTAAAGGTCCTATATTACACAAAATTGACTATTATGAGTCTTATGCAGGATTTGAGTGTTTAAACATGTGAATGAAACAAAACACAACTCCAGGGCTGTTTGTGATGAGGAAATATTAGAACATAGCTCAGAAAATAACATAATATGGGCTCTTTAAACATGAATGAAAACTACATAACATGGACTCAAGACATCAAAAATCATTACAAAAACTAACCCTGTATTCTAGTTAAAACTCCGTGCCTCCTTCACCGAGCAGACGCTGGAGAATGAACAGGTTTGTAGTTGCCTGTTGACTCTTCGGCTCCTGTGTCTTTGTCAGATTCGATCAAACTGAATTGGATGTTTCTCTTCCTTCCACAGTTGGGGGTGAGGGGTGGTTCAGGGCTGCAGGCTTTTATCCGAGACTGTTTATTTCGACATAAAATACACAATAGTTTTTCCTATCCACGTTTAACTAACTTAATATGTGTTGCCTTTTATCAGATTCTGCATATTAAAACTAAGGAAACTGAAGATTTAACCAATGCAAGTTTATCAGAGAAAATTAACACAAATCCTCAAAGATTATGATGTTTTAAAGGTGCACTGTGCAACTTTTTAGTGGAGAATCCATCATCAGCTGGTCTACTACACTACACTACAATACCATACAATACTACAAAATAAAACTTTTCGATCTCCAAGGAGACAAGCAGGCGATGCCAAGTTATATGTCAGATCTATGGATTTATGCTCTTATATTACACAAAATTGGGTTTATGAGCTTTAAGCCATATAGGCGAGTTTGAGCTGACGTCATTGTTATTAAAAGCCCGTGTTGCATGCTGGGAAATATTTTGGTCGGAGGCAAGAAACACGATAGCGGTCAAACACAGTGCGTAACCTCACGTATTTATCCCCGATAATGGTAAATTCCTGCTGCATTATCGGATGAACAAATAGAAGCACGGAAGAAGGAAAATGTCTTTTTCGTATTCTGAGTGAAAAGAACCACTAACGGTGAATTAAACGGCTTTCAAACATCCGCAGAGCAAACGTAGAAGATCCTAACAAACCGTGGACTCCAACAAGTTCAACAACACATCGAGACTCTTGGAGGTTTTCATCTTTTCTGCTGTGAATGGCCCAGGAGTTTCCACCAAGTCATTGTGGATATCGCCCAAGTGAATATTTGTCCAGGTAGTTCGCGATTCCGACCAGAGATTTGGTTTGGTCCACCTTTTGTCGGGGTTGAAAAGGGTGATTTTTCGTCCATCGATGCTTATGACCAATTTCTGGTCAAATCGTCTTTGGTCCTCTGCCGTTAGAGTGGATAAATAACCAGGATCAATACCCTTTACGTGCTTTCTCGCTCCGTCCATCATGTTGAATTAGTGTTTCTTGCCGCCGACCAAAATCATTCCCAGCATGCAACGCGCGCTTTTGTCAACAATGAAACTCGCCTATTATGAGCCATGTGGCCATACCGGCTTTTCAAATCCTGATCCCGTCAGATCTCAGGAGCTCAGCAGGGTCGGGCCTGGTCAGTACTTGGATGGGAGACCGCTGGGAAAATCAGGAGCCACAGGGGGGCACCAGTCATTAAAAAAACTGTTGTTGTTCCTTAGGCAAGGCACTTCACCCTCATTGCCAAGTGTGAAAGTGATGTGTGCGTGAGTGATGGTGGTGGTCGGAGGGACCGATGGCGCCGATTGGCATGGCAGCCGCGCTTCCGTCAGTATGCCCCAGGGCAGCTGTGGCTACAATAGTAGTTTACCATCACCGGGTGTGGAGAAAAAGAATAATGAACCTATATAATGCTCTGTAAAGCGTCTTTGTGACATACGTCTGTGAAAAAGCGCTATATAAATAAAGACTTACTTCACCCTCATTGCCAAGTGTGAAAGTGGTGTGTGTGAGAGTGATGGTGGTGGTCTGAGGGGCTGATGGCGCAGATTGGCAGCCTCACTTCCGTGGCTACAGTAGTAGTTTACCACCACTGGGTATGGAGTGAATGAATAATGCTGAATAATGCTCTGTAAAGCGTCTTTGAATGTCCAAAAAAGCGCTATATAAAACTGATGCATTATTATTATTATTAGAACTTTGTTACGTCATCAAAAACAGACCTGGAGTTGCGTTTTGTTCTGTTTGAGTAACCCTTTTTAATTAGTCTGTCTACATCTCCAAAGCTCAAAATGCTCTGTTCTGCCTTGTGATGTCATGAATCTAGTGAAGGTGTGTGGAGTTTAAAAACACAGTGGAGCACGTCCTGTGTACATGAAGGTGGAAGAATGTTTTCTGTTTGAGAGAAGAACTCAGCCTAAATGGGCAGGATTTGTGTTTTAAACGTGTGAATGAAACAAAACACAACTCCAGGTCTGATGAAGAAAAAAAGGTAGAGCGCTTCACTGGGTCTTTAAAGAGTAAAAAATGGCAGTATGGGTGCTCTACGGGGGTTAAACAGTGGCCTTAGAACAAAAAATTACCCTTACTGAAAAATGTAAGAATAGGTAAGGTGCAAACCCGAGGCACTCCGACTGAATATATTAAAAGTCCTTTATTGTATGAAGCGACGCCAACGTGTTTCGACCAGCAAGATGGTCTTCGTCAGGGCAAAGTGGTAATTTTCTGCTCTAAGACAACTCCAGGTCTGTTTGTGGTGAGGAACCTACATAAGAATAGATCAGAAAATAGTATCATATGGGCCCTTCGACTAAACTGGTGATAATATTCTATCCACTACTACATAAAAGTGATAACATATACTTACATAATCACCAAGCAACTCCAAAAACAGCTTCTGAAAATGTCCTTTGTAGTCATTTTTCTTGGTTAAATTAGCTTCCATTTTGCATGCGAGTTTGTTTTTTTCCACCTGGGCCCTGTGCAGCAGACAGGAGCTGTGTCCCCTGTTGGCTCTGATGATATCTGAGCAGGTGCACAGTGTCTAACAGCACCCAGGTGTGTAATAAAACAATGCTACGCTGATAACTTAATTTAAAAGGACTTCCCAATAAGAACAAAGGCAATACATTTTAATAAGTACATAATAGAAAATAGAGGAGGGCCAATTCTCATACGAGAGGAAGGACAGAGAGTATATGGTACAGAGGAGATTGTTTTATATTTTAAAATCAGAAGTCTCTTTACATTTACACAATTTTAAGGTCCTATATTACACAAACGCAACCCTTGTGAGCGTTAAGTCATGTTATAATGCTGTTACCTCCTCACAAACAGACCTGGAGTTGTGTTTTATTTTATTCACAAATTCAGCTCTTTTTTTTTTTTATTAGTCTGTCTGCATCTCCAAAGCTCAAAATGCTCTAATCCACCTTGTGATGTCACGTCGCGGTACTTTTCAAGTTACTGGCTACCTTTTTATCTTTACTTAAGTAGAGATGTGCAATCCCAGGGTTGAAATCAAACAAATGATTCTAGTGAAGAGTGTGTGGAGCACTTCCTGTATTACCACATGACATCGCAAGGTGGAACAGAGTGTTTTCTGTTTAAGAGAAGAACTCAGCCTAAAGTAAGTCATCAGAATATAGCATAATACATTCAAAAGTCCAATAGCCTTTGCATCCGAGTGTCAATTAAAGTATGAGCTGCTAAAATATACAAAAGATGTTATGTTTCAATCTAATTTCAGCCTTTGCGATTTACTGATTACAAACACTTAAAATTTAGCTTCGTTTTGCGATTAGTGGTGCTGCCCTATTTCCTGACATAGAGCCCCTGTGGTTTGGGTTAGGCCGGTCTCCATCTTGTGCCTCTGACCTCTTTGGATCGCGCTCGTCTTCACTCCAGCAGCGGGAGCAGATGGTGAGCGTTACAGACTGACAGCTCCGTACTCCATCCATGTGACTAATACAAAATAAATACATCGTTTGGACCGCAGCTGTAGAGTGAATCACCCACACAAACCCTGCTGTTCGCCTCCATGTCTCTCTCTCTGTAATCCACTCTATCGCACTGGAGTCAAAAAGGGGTGAGCACAAATATCGAAATATCAAAAATCAATATATAGCAGGGATGTAACAATAACTGAAATATTGTATTGTATCGTCAAAGTTCTCACAGTAACATCGTGGACCATCACAATAGATGAAATTACAATTCTCTTTGCTTAAATTAAGAGTTATGGTGCAGAAATAGCTAAAGAAAAAGAGGAAACTACATAGACCATGATCCTTTGCTCCATTTCAGTGCAGACAACATGAAAAAATAACAGTTCTAAGCACTTTTAATTCTTAGTTCGTTGGATTAAGTCTTGTCAAAGCATTTTAAGAGGAAAAAGTAGCATATTAACAGTTTTATTAACCTCCACAAAATATCGCAGTAAATATCGTACCGTGAGATGTATATCGTGAAAATATCGTACAGAGAGAATTGGATATTGTTACATTCCTAATCGTGAACTTTCCCACAATATCGTGAGCTTTTCCACGATATCTCAATAAATATCGTGCTGTGAGGTTCATACCGTGACGATATCGTATCGTGAGACTTGGATATCGTTACACCCCTAATATATAGTGAACTAAATTTGCTGATACAGTATCGTTATCATGGGCTGCCGTTTCGATATTTCGCCAAGAGTATTTTTTGGTATCTTTTAGCAACTTTTTTTTTGTGACCGCACTACAGTTTTGCTGCTTATTTGATGGAAAGAAACTTGTTTAGATGATAGACTTGACATTAGGGATGGGCATTTGATAAAGTTTTCTTAATCGATCGTCAAGAGAATTAATGATCGATTATTGATTAATCATTAACATTTTTTATATTAAAATTTATCATCGTTATTATATCTGCACGACTAATCTGCATAAATAAATTCCACTTTACGACATATAAACCGTAACCACTCTAGAGCCACATCAGTCCGGTTGACATTATAATGTGTTTAATGCAGCTTTGCGCAACTCTTACAGAAACAAAACTTAAAACCACATGGCAAATTTACATAAATTAAGCAAAGAAAAAAAACAGCTCTTGTGCACTGATGGGACACGACTCAGGTGAATACAGGTTAGTGTGACCATATTTGCATTTGTCAAACCAGGACACCGTACGGGGGGAGGGAGGTGGGGACTCGTCATCGACACTGAGCGACTCTCACCTGGCAAAACTTTTTCCCACTGGACACTGAAACATATGTGCTGCTTTATACACTGTGCACATGGACTCACACTTGTCCCGAACGCAATGGAAAGCGTGGAATTTCTTGTACAAGTCATCGTTAAATATGCATTTGCGCTTCAGCACGTTGCAGACTGACCCACTGTTTGTGTCTCGCTCCTTCTGATGCAGAGAGACACATGTACACACCTGTTTGGTCACACTACACACAGCAACCTACATTCGATTAAAATTAAAATGAACGTAATTCTTAATGATCAATTATCGATTAATCGACTAATCATGCCCATCCCTACTTGACATATCTGCTGTGTTGTTTAAAAAAAACATTTCATATCAATGTTGCACAAGTGGTGATTTAACAAGGAAATATTGTTGCTAAAAGTATTTGTTTCTTAAAAAGCAGTAATATATCATTATCACATGTATCGCCATATTGTGATAATATTTTACCATGAGCCATGTATCGTGTATCTTAACGAATCGTGAGGGACCTTAAAAAAACAGCAATATATCGATTATCACATGCGTCGCCATATCGTGATAATATCGTATCGTGAGCCATGTATCGTATCGAATTGCGAGGGACCCTACGATTCCCAGTCCTAGAATAAAAATCACAATTTGATTTGGTGCACTTATCAAATCGCAAAGGCTGCAATTCGATATTAGAATGTCTCAGCAAAGAAGTAAATATTTTGTCTTTTAACACTGAAAATATCTTATTGGATGTGTTGTTTAGAACTTTACAAACATGTTCTGAAGTGCATGGGATTCTTGTATTGTCAGGATGCTGAAATTTCAAACTTGATTTTGATACTAAGGAATAGACAGGATACTCAATTCTGATTCTGATACCACAATGATAATAAAAACACTTGTTCTTTAGACAATAACATGTGATTTTCAACATTAAATGATAGAAAGGTTTCTATCCTGTCAATGTGGCTATTTTAGTATCTTTACCTGCTCAAATGAGGATCTAGTTTCGATACTGGTTTTAGTATCGATTAGTATCAGATTTTTGATACTTTTGACAACCCTACATTCTTATAATAGTTTATTAGTTCATATTTCAGTCTTCTCTCAAATGTTAACACTCCTGAAGTTGTTTATAATGCACGCTCTGAACAAAAATCAACTTTTTAAATATATATTGCAAAACAGACAAATTACAAATGGATTTCCCCCCCCCAAATGGTGCAGTCTTATTTTGGTTTGTCTATTTTAGGTATGTGAGCATCTTATTGCAAAGTAATGAGAAAAATGGAGCGATGCTGTTGGGGAAAATCAATTAAACAAAAACAATTAAGTTTAATGAGTTACAGTCATGAGTGAGAGACTTCATCATCATCACTGTTCTCAACTTTTCTTTCCCCCAAAAAGTGGAACTTTTCTGGACAGTTATAATAAGAATGCAGGTTTTTCTTGGCTTTTTTAAAGAAGACATATTGTGCTTTTCAGATCACAATATTGATCTAAAATGACTTAATAAAAGAAACAGATCTGACTTATGAGCTGTGCCATGCAGCTGTTGGCAACTCCAGTGGATATCTGTGGTGTGATAGCAATGGACATCAAACTAGCAAATATATTTTTTGTTTTTATTTGTACCAAAATGACTATGCAGTGCTGCTGTATGTATGATATGTATGATTAAGAAAATTGAGTTGAAGAACAAAGTACAGAGCAGCGGTTGTGTACTGGTGTCAGTGAAAACAGGCTGATCAGAGCAATGATATCTTGAATACAGGAGAATAAAGATGACTCAGTCATGCGTGAATCATTCTAAATACAATTTCAAGAGGGTAAATGAGAAGAGGAAACAGCTATAACATGGTTAAAAGCTCTGTAAAGCAAATTTTGCACAATAGGTCACTTTAAACAATGAAAATGCCTGCAGTTGAAAAAAATACAGACAGATATATTTGCTTGGACAGATAAGCAATAATAGCTCCATGGAGACAAGCGTGTCAGAAAAGTTACATAGTGCACCTTTGACGTACATTTGTTGTTGTTCTTGTGAAATACAGTAGCTTAGAATATATTATATATAAATATATAAAATATATATATATATATACCAACAAATGTACAACAAGTCACCCTTGTGTAACAGATAATACTCCCTACAACTGTACAGCAACTAAACTAGATACATATGTTATAATATATAGTGCAGTTTGTCACTATATTGAAACCTTTGGCTGTGTTGGCTCTTTTTGTTTTGGCTCGCTTTGGTTATAGATCTGGTGTAATCACTGCTTTGACTCAGCAGGTTCAGTATCTGCAGACTCGCTGGATTTGCAGACATGTATTATTCAGTGTACCAGAAATGAGGTGATTTCAATGTGATCCCAGAATATTTGTTCATCTTTTGGTTTGCATTTTGCACCACAAGTATTACCACACCACTGTGTAACTATTCCCAGTGAACTTACCTGTTTAGTATTTATTATTTGCTGGTGTTTTCATTCTAAAATCACCTTGAAAAATGTTCATGCTCACTGGGGGACAGGGTCCACAGATTTGAACTGTAACTTGGTCTGGTGGCGTGTTTTCATCATTGCCAGTAGCTCCGGTTTGACATTTAAGTTGTGGGATATTTTATATTTGTTATTCTTTTATATCTCACGTCAGGAGAAGTGGGTGGACTGCGTACCCCTGTGCACCACGCCCACTACACTCCTGGTCAAATGTTTTGTCTTTTGTTTTGTTGAGGATGCAATGGGCTGTGTTCATTTTCTAGAAATTGCAGAAGTCATACTTTCAGGCTTTGTAACACTATTGGAGATTCACTGTTTTTGAAAGAAATAATCCACAAATGTTGAACCTTATCATTATTTGTTAAGGACTGGATTCTTTCAACTGACAATAATCATGTATTTGAAGATGAATAATAGACTCAGTAATTACAGAGAGATGAACCTTAAACCAAGTCAGCAAATCTGCATTCTGACAGTTACAGCAAACTCCACCAGAGAAGTCTGAACTGTCCTCCACTCAGTTTAAACTTTAGGGATTCTGCAATGTCACGTGAACACAACCTGGCAACACAATTTCATCTTTACGCTGTATGAACATGTAACTTTTGAAACTGAAATGTCTCTCCTCTCTGTCTGTCCAGATCGACCTCCCTCTGGAGCGTAAACCCCGAGTGGTCCGCCCCTCCGGCCGCCTCTGCACCGAGCTCCACCGCCACCTCACCACCTCTGGCCACCGCGGCAACCAGGACACCGCCGCGCCCGTGTCCGAGGACGACGAGGAGGAGGAAGAGGAGGAGGAGAGCGAGTCCGAGGAGGAAGAGGAGGACGACTCTTCCAGCAGCGAGATCGACGCAGCCAGCGCGGAGCCCCAGCCCCAGGTCGACCCGCCGAAACCGCAGTTCAGCTCGGAGAAGGAGCTGCAGTCCGTGGTGGATCTCATCACGTACATGCACACGTACTGTCTCCCTTCACGTAAACAGCACGGCGGGTGGGAGCGCAGAGACAGAGACGCTCAAAAGAACCGATCTCGCGCCCAGACCTCCACCCAAACGAACTCTCACACGCGCGTTGTGCTTGTGGCTACGCCCGGGACTAGCCTGTCGACGGGGCACGCGAGCGGGACTGCTAATGCTAACGCGAACCCCAAGAGGATCCCGTTTGCGCGGCGACGGGAGGTCAAAGCCAACTCACTTTTACGAGAGCTCTTGCAGCAAACTAGCTCCTACGATGTGAGCAAGCCTTACAGACTGCACAGCCCGCCCTACGTCCAATCTTCCAGCCCAAACAGGGGGGCCAGCGCTACAACTACCCAGGCTAAAACAGCGCCGAGCTCCAGTTCGACCGCCGCCCCCAAAGCTGACAGTTCCTCCCCGGACAGGAGTAGCTCTTCCACGGATATATCCCAGGACGTCGTTCTGGAGGACAGTGGATCGTTCTCGGTGCGGAGGTCCCGGCGTTTGGCTTCTTTTCCGAGTCGTTTCGCCAAAAGACATCGTCCCGCCCGGCCAATCGCGGTGGAGAAGAGGGAGGACAGAAGCGAGGGGAAGTTAACGGTGAAGCTGACGCAAGCTCCAGAGACTTCAGCGGCGGAGACGGTGCTCACGGCGACGGACAGCAGCACCATGGCGACGGAGCCGACCAAACCGTGCTGCCACAGTGGTATGAACTCTACACACAGTCCAATCTTCAAACAAGCTTCAAGGGTCCAAACTGCTAACACAACTACAACTTGGTTTGGATACTATTCCTTATTTAAACACACATCTGCTTTATTTATTTATTTTTATTTTTTCATATTCTGCTTTAGGGATGTCAAGATGAATTGGTAATACAGGTCACAATATGATCCAAAAATACGTAATTTCAATTCTGTTTATATTCCAAAAAGTATACCGAAACATGAAGTGTGTTTAAAAAAAAAAAAAAGAAACAAAACATTCCTGGTAGCCCTCTCCATCTTTAACATTTATAAGGTTACTGAATCATACCTTTATACCTACCTTATTAATAATATTTTGATGTGAAGTAATGTTTTAGTGTTATGATATAGGCCCCTGAATATTTCTTCTTCTGCTGTGAATGGCCTAAAATGTCCTGATTTTGTGATTCCAGAGAAGCGAGCTTGCCTCTGTCTGCCTCTGAACCCCAAGTCCACAGGGTGAGCTCTACTTTACTCAAACTACAACTGTGTAACGTAGAAATAATAATTATTATGGTTCATCCATCAAGTCTTCAGGGTTCCCACGGTCATGGAAATCCTGGAATTTTAGTATCTCTTTCACGCAACTACATAAGTTCTCTTAAGTTCTCATGAGGGTATTCTGATTATTTCTGAACGTTTGCACCTTTTGTTTAAAAGAGACGACAATAAATGCACTGACAGGATTTTGAATGTTCAAAACTATAATCCCAAACCATAAGGTGAGTGGAAAGAGTTAACATTTCATATTAAGCTCTAAAAGTCTGATCAATTCTACACACGTAGGTGCTGCAAAGTCATTGAAAATTCACTTTAGGTCATGAAAAATTCATGGAAAAGTTTTGAAATTTTGTCAGTGAAAAAAAGTGGAAACCCTGAGTTTTGGTTGACCAATATTTTTATTAGTCAACAAATTATTTTATTGGTATTATAAAGGATGTATACTGTATTATATTACCTGAGTTTATTCTTCCTTTTTACACACAAATATGGAATTTACTAGAACTTGTCCTGTCTGTGCACTTTGGGTCAAATATAACATAGGCTTTTATCTAGATTGTTGCATCATAGATAAAACTCTGAACTTGTCCTGCAGTTTATAAGTTCATAAACCATCACCAGACTTGTTCTAGGGTCAAATTGTGTAACACATGCTACTAAACATAGCAATCCCCAAAGATAAGTTCATTACTTTATTATGCCAATTTGTTTTCCTGTTTCTGACAGCAGAAGGAGCTCTAACACCTAACACCTCATTCAAAACAGAGGTGAATAATCTGCTCCTCAAATGTACACATTATTTTAAGTTAGAAAATGTGAAATTCTCATCCCAAGGTGACCAAAGATAAATGGTGAAGATGACCGTGCATGTAGTATAAAAACATACTGTGATAGATTTTTAAAAAGTGGTCAAAAAAGGCCCAGGCACGCTGTTGGAAATATTATTAAAATTATTTATTGGTTACATGGGACGAGCCATTGCCAACAAGTGACCAAAGATCTGTTTAAAAAGTTTAAAGCCACAAGAAAGAGTAATATGTGTTATTTGAGGTCTTTGAGAACTAGTACAAGGCTGTATGGTAATATTAAAGAAGCTACTATTATTTTGGATAGATAAAATTGTGTTTTTACTGGTATAAAAATTGGTATTTGGCCAATTTCTTAAAGGTGCACTGTGTAATAAGGTTGGGCGTCCAAAAGTTTCAGTTTTTACGCTCGCGTAGGGTGAATTACACACATGCAGTGGAGCCAGGTCCATAATCTCTGAAAAGTTAAAACATGAACCACGTGCACTTATGGACACCCTTGTGCTCGAACATGGTGTTCGTTATGGACAAACTGTGACTAGCACAGAAGTCCAATAACAAAACACCGCTCGGGTTCAGAACAAGGAGGCCGTTCCTCCCAGTCACCCCTCTCCAAGTGTCACTGTCATTGCCCACGTGGGCGTTGAAGTCCCCCAGGAGAACAACGGAGTCCCCGGTCGGTGCACTGTCTAGTACCCCTCCCAAGGACTCCAAGAAGGCCGGGTACTCTGCACTGCTGTTCGGCCCGTAGGCCGACACCACAGTGAGAGACCTGTCCCCGACCCGAAGGCGCAGGGACGCGACCCTCTCGTTCACCGGGGTGAACTCCAACACACGGTGGCTGAGCTGTGGGGCAATGAGCAGGCCCACACCAGCTCGCCGCCGCTCCCCGCGGCCAACGCCAGAGAAATGGAGAGTCCAGCCCCTCTCAAGGAGTTGGGTTCCAGAGCCCAAACTGTGCGTGGAGGTGAGGCCGACTATATCTAGTCGGTAACGCTCAACCTCCCGCACAAGCTCAGGCTCCTTCCCCCCCAGCGAGGTGACATTCCATGTCCCCAGAGCTAGTCTCCATGTCCGGAGATCTGGTCGCCGAGGCCCCCGCCGTCGACTGCCGCCCAGATCTCTCTGCACCGGCCCCATATGGATCCTCCTGCGGGTGGTGGGCCCACATCAGGACGGCCCCACGTCGCTCCTTCGGGCTAGGCCCGGCCACCAGGCGCTCGCTGATGAGCACCCATCCCAGGCCTGGCTCCAGGGTGAGGCCCCGGTGATGCCAATCCAGGCGACGTCGCTGGCCTCTGAGTGGACATCTTCATATACGGCTTCTGCAACCGTTCTTCGTCTGACCCGTCCCCCCGGACCTGTTTGCCTTGGGTGACCCTACCAGGGGCATGAAGCCCCCGACAACATAGCTCCCAGGGATCATTCGGGCACTCAAACCCCTCTACCACGATAAGGTGACGGTTCAAGGAGGGGAGAAATAATATAATATATTCCACTGAAAAAATATCTTCCACTGAGTCGTATCCTTTAGTCCGACAGAAGCTGAACCGCATCAGCAGCACAAGAAGTGAGCTGTTTTTATCAGCGCTTACAGTTCATGCAAATGAGCCATGCGGTTTTAAGTTTCTTTTATGTAAAACGTAAAGAAATATGCACCTGAAGCCAAAATGCTGCCAAATTGCAGAAGTACTAGTATTTTTGGAGGGGACCAGCTCTCTTGCAGCCAGACTTGCCGTCTTGTCGTGGTCTTTTTTATGAGCATCACGTGACAGCGGAATGAAACTAATCGAACGTCATCTCCCCAAGAAACATTATAGACACTATTAGTTTTAAATCGTGATCGCATTAAACTGTAAATACAACCACACATTAATTTGTGCTGCGCAAACAAATTTAGATATCAGTAAATGATAATATTATATCTGGTCCTTATGCACTGCAGATTTTTGTTTTAATGATGATAATGAAACTGATACCGCTGCTATTTTTTTTGATACGGCGGTGTACTGTAATACCGTATTACCGCCCAACCCTACTGTGTAACTTTTCAGGTGGAGGGTCGGCTGTCTGCTTGTCTCCATGGTGATGTTATTGCTTTGCCTTGGATGTTCCACAGCACGGCATTAAACATGTATATCTTGCTTCTATTCAGTTATAGGCATTTGTACGGAAGCCAAGAGGGATCACAACGCAAACACAAACACCGCAACAAATACAAATGCGACAACACAACAAAAAGCCACAACAAACCAAAAAAAGCGGAAATGACCGCGGGACTCTATTTTCCAACGGACCGATCAAGCGGCAAGTGAAGAAGTAGAACTACAACGTGAAACGAATAATGATAAAACAATAAATGACTTTTACTTACGTTTACAACTTCTCTGTTCCTTTACTTTTCACGCTGTAGTTCTTCTTCTTCACTTGCCGCTTGATCGGTCCGTCGGAAAATAGAGTCCCGCGGTCACTTCCATTGTGGCTTTTATTGGTGTGTTGTGGCTTTTTTTTGGTGTGTTGTGGCTTTTTTTTGGTTTGTTGTGGCTTTTTGTTGTGCTGTCACATTTGTATTTGTTGCGGCGTTTGCGTTTGTTGTGACCCCTCTCGGCTTCCGTACATTTGTATTCCTAAAAACTACCACGAAAACTATTACTGTGAATAATCGATCTGTGAGTCAAGCAGGTGGTGGACTCTCTGCAAGAAAAGCGACACAGTGCAGCTTTAATATCAAAACTGACTTTGAAATGTTAGTGATATGACCGTACTACTGATTTTGGACATAAACTTTTCACAGTGGTGTTTAGAGTGTATTGAATTTCCAGTATCTGAGTCTGTCCAGGATGTTTTCCGCGGTAATGAATTGGAGTCTGTTTCTTTCATATTCACTTGTGTTTGCTCCAGACGTATTGTTGCTTTTCTAAATTAACCTCTCATTTAATTTCGCCTCCCAAAATGGCTCTCCTCCAAGTCGTGCTTCACTGTTTTTCTTGTATAAAAACCTCGCTGGCTTTTGTCCATCTCCAAATTCAATCTTCCTTTGAAACATTTGATATTTCACTTTCTTTCAAATCTAGAGCCAAAATACTTGTTCTGGTCCTGGTTTAGTTCTGGTCCGGACTACTCCCGTTTTTATTTTGGTCCTGGTTTGCAATATTTATGATTGTACTATAAATACGCTTAAGAGTTTAGCTCATGTTAAGTCACGTTTTAGTCCTGGTTCAGGCCTGATTTAGTCCTGATCAAGCCCTGGTGTGGTCCTTGTTTAGTCCCAGTTTAGTCCTTGTTTAGTCTTGGTTTAGTCTTGGTTTAGTACTGGTTTAGTTCTGGTTTAGTCCTGATTTAGTCCTGATTTAGTCCTGGTTTTGATCTGGTTTAGTCCTGGTGAAGCCCTGGTTTAGTCCTGGTTTAGTACTGGTGTAGCCATGGTTTAGTCCTGGTTTAGTCCTGGTGTAGTCCTGGTTTAGTCCTGGTTTAGTCCTGGTTTAATTCTGGTTTAGCCCTGGTTTAGTCCTGGTTTAGCCCTGGTTTAGTCCTGGTTTAATTCTGGTTTAGTTCTGGTTTAGCCCTGGTTTAGTCCTGGTTTAATCCTGGTTTAGTTCTGGTTTAGCCCTGGTTTAGTCCTGGTTTAGTCCTGGTTTAGTCCTGGTTTAGCCCTGGTTTAGTCCTGGTTTAATCCTGGTTTAGCCCTGGTTTAGTCCTGGTTTAATCCTGGTTTAGTTCTGGTTTAGCCCTGGTTTAGTCCTGGTTTAGTCCTGGTTTAGTCCTGGTTTGGCACTGGTGTAGTCCTGGTTTAATCCTGGTGTAGTCCTGGTTTAATCCTGGTTTAGTTCTGGTTTAATCCTGGTTTAGTCCTGGTGTAGTCCTGGTTTAGCCCTGGTTTAATCCTGGTGTTGTCCTGGTTTAGCCCTGGTTTAGCCCTTGTTTAGTCCTGGTTTAGTCCTGGTTTAGTCCTGGTTTGGCGGGGAGAGGGTGGTGCATGTGTTCAGTGTGATAAGACATGGAGAGTAATGGAGAAATGCCAGTTACATTTACATAGAGGGATGTGATTCAAATTCAGTCGACCTCAGCTGAAAAACGTGCTTTATGATTTGGAAATAAGCTCCACACTCACGGCCTTTTATGGACGACGTTAAAGCGCTGGTAATGAGCTAAAAATAGATCTGTATTTGAGGACTAAAAGGAGCGAAACATGGGAAAAGAGCAGAAGTATATCATGAGTTTAAGGTGATGTGATGCCAGCATGAAGAAACCCAAGAAACACAAAGTTGGGCATCTGGAAGTATAAATCCTGGTTTAAGTCCTGGTTTAGTCCTGGCATAGTCCTGGTTTAGTCCTGGTTTAAGTCCTGGTTTAGTCCTGGTTTAGTCTTTGTTTAGTCCTAGTTTTTTCTTCATTTAACACAAAAAATAGTCAATTTTTTTCCTCCAAAGTCTGTCCAGTTTAGCCCTATTTTTAAATCCTGGTTTAGTTGTAGTTTCCGCTTGTTTTAGTCCTAGTTTTAGTCCTGTTTTTTAATCTTGGTTTTAGTCCTGGCCTTGGAAATGGTTTAGTCCTGGACTCCTGAGTTAGTCCATGTGTAGTTCTTGTTTAGTCCTGGTTTTAGTCTTGGTGTAGTCCTGGTTTAGTCCTGGTTCAGTCCTGGTGTTGCCCTGGTTTTAGTCCTGGTGTAGTCCTGGTTTAGTCCTGGTGTTGTCCTGGTTTAGTCCTGGTTTTAATCCTGGTGTAGCCTTGGTGTTGTCCTGCTAAGTTTTGGTTTTAGTCCTGGTTTAGTCCTGATTTAGGCCTGGTGTAGTCCTGATGTAGTCCTGGTGTAGTCCTGGTTTAATCCTGGTTTAGTCTTGGTTTAGTCTTGGCGTGGTCCTAGTTTAGTCCTGGTTTAGTCCTGGTTTTTGTCCTGGTGTAGTCCTGGTGTAATCTTGATTTAGCCATGGTTTAGTCCTGGCATAGTCTTCATTTAGTCCTGATTTAGTCCTTGTTTAGTCCTGACATAGTCCTGGTTTAGTCCTGGCCTTTTTTTTCCTGTATTTAACACAAAAAATAATCAAATTTCCTCCTCCAAAGTCTGAACTCTGCTCTAAACCACATGTTTTTACTGACAGAGGATTGGCTGTAGACTTCCCCTTTCCAAACCTCATACCTGCACATCTCTGTCTCTTGTGTTGTCAAAGCTGCTATTGTTTTGAGCCTAATTTAAGTTTCTCTTTGTCTCTTCCTTCAGAGAGTCTCAGTACAGCACCAAGCCCTTTGAGCCGACTCTCAGCGTGGACCTGTGTGGAACAGCAGGTACTTTTATGCAATTAAGACCCGACTTTGTCCAGTGCAATCAAACCTTTTAAAACTCAGATTCCACTTCATGAAATGTTTTAAAAGTGTAAAAAAAAAAAGTTCACTAAATATTCTTCTTCACCGAATTAACATAAAACAATACAATACTGCGGAACGACACTTGCCCATTTGGAACATAAAATATTTTGTTCTGAATTGATAATCGCCATGGCAACAGCTCTAAAGGATAGTTAACTCTAAATCAGTGTGATATTATTTGTTTTATCTAGAGACAATTTATTCATTTTCTTCTTTGGGTTAATAATTATTTAGATCTATACTGTATCCATAGTTTAGTCTCATTTTAGGCCATGTTGAGCCCAGGTTTAGATCTGATAAAATGTAGATTCTGCTTTCTGATTGGATAATAGTCTTCAGAATCAAAACACTAAATTATAACAAACAACTGTCCAGTGTTTTTTTTGTAATTAAGAATACATCAGCATTACAAACCACATGTTTTTACTGATAGAGGAATTGAAAAGCTGAACATTAGAAGTGACTCACATTGTGTAATAGGGCTGAACAATCTATCGTTTGGACCGAAAGTCACGAACTCAAACAACACGACTTTGGGAGCGCCAACGCTGTGTTTTTTTTTTGCAGTGCTCCTAAAGCCCAATTTGAATGGCGAAGTTTAGTTCTGCGTCGATTGCAGTGCACACTCACCGTCGTTTTTAATTTATGGGTCTGCGTCGAGGTCTTTGCACCACGAAGTAATTCACCATCACAACATTAGGAGGTGTGGATTTAAACTTGGCGTTGGTGTAAAGTTTAACATGAACCATTTCCAACGCAATAGAAGCATAGAACAGACTCACCATCAGCAGAACATTTTCTGTCACAGAGAGAACACTCGTATTCCACTGAGTCATGTCCTTTAGTCTGACAGAAGCTGAACCACATCAGCGCACAAGGAGCGAGCAGTTTTTGTTTTTTTCAGCGCTTATAGTTTATGCAAATTAGCCATGTGGTTTTAAGTTTTGTTTCTGTAAAATGTAAATAAATGTGCACAAACGGTCCAGCGTCAAATCATCAGTACATGTCTGTGATGTTTGCAAATGTTCATGTGCACTATATCTTGATTTGAAAAAAATTGTCAATGAAATCGCCAGAAAAATAGCAGTTCAATTTTTTTTCTTAAAATCATTCAGCCCTTTTGTGTAATATATGTACTTAGATTTTTTTCTCAAATAGCTGGAAAAAATCTTTATATATATATTTAATCTTTATAAAAGTGCAATAGATCCATGATTATACTTTATATGACTCTTTATATATAAATAGATAAATAAATACATTTATTGATTTTTACTGTATTTAGTCCTGGTTTAGTCCTGGTTTAGTCTTGGTGTAGTCCTGGTTTTAGTCCCCTGGTGTAGTCCTGGTGTAGTCCTGGTTTAGTCCTGGTTTAGTCCTGGTCCTGGTTTAGTCCTGGTTTAGTCCTGGTGTAGTCCTGGTTTAGTCCTGGTGTAGTCCTGGTGTAGTCCTGGTGTAGTCCTGGTTCCTGGTTTAGTCCTGGTGTAGTCCTGGTTTAGTCCTGGTTTAGTCCTGGTTTAGTCCTGGTAGTCCTGGTTTAGTAGTCCTGGTGTAGTCCTGGTTTAGTCCTGGTGGTTTAGTCCTGTTTAGTCCTGAGTCCTGGTTAGTCCTGGTTTAGTCCTGGTTTAGTCCTGGTTTAGTCCTGGTTCCTGGTTTAGTCCTGGTAGTCCTGGTTTTGGTTTAGTTCCTGGTTTAGAGTCCAGTCCTGGTGGGTGCATGTGTTCAGTGTTTTACTGTATTTTAGACTTAGACAAATGTCATTGAGCTGCAAGGGAAATTATTTATTTTCTGTTACTCATGAATGATTTTTGTGACGTGTTTTAGGCTTGACTCCTCCCACCACACCTCCGCACAAATCCGTGGAGGACGAGCTCTTCAAACCCACGGACAGCAACAAAACCACCACCACGGGAACAGGAAGTGAGGGCGGCGGAGGGGGCGGGGACTCCATAAACCCCGCCTCCAACTCCAGCAGCAACAACAACAACAACTCCTCCCCCTCCACGGCCGTCCCCAAACCGTCGTCCTGGCTGCGCGGCGCCCCCAACAGGAAGCAGCCCGAACAGACGGAGCTGTACGCGCAGCTGCGGAGGATGGGGCAGGTCGGAGAAGAGACGCAGAGGAGCTTCGGGGACCACGATTACTGCGCGCTGAGTCTGGGAGAGAGCCGGAAACGCAGCGCCGCCATTTTAGGGGCCATGCTACAGGCGCAGACGGGGAAAGAGGAGGCCATGAGCACGACTGAGTGTGAGTGACAGCAGTTGAAAGCAGATCTGAACAAACTGATTTCTCTGTTGGGTCTGGTCAAGTGGTAACGGAGGGAAACAGAGGCAGATTTTTGACATTCAAATGTCTCTTATTCAGAAACTAGAGGGACTATTGAAATAAGTAAAGTATCAGAATGTAGGAAAGAGTTACACTCCAACAGGGTCAAGTTAAACCTGTGAGATTCTTTCAAGTTGTTGACAAAAAATTTAAAAACTCATGTCGGTAACGGAGGGAATGAAATATGCAGCACTTTTTGGGCAATAAATCCAAACAGTGATAACTCTTGGTTCTCACTTACATATCCTTAACAAACTGGTTTGAATATTTGCTTCATATAGTTTTCTACCATATGGTACAAGATTAGGTTGAAAAACCTCTTACTTTTTGACTCATGAGATTTTTTATGAAGAAAGGTCATGGTAACGGAGGGAAAAGTAACAGAGGGAAAATTGTGCAAACAAGTAGAAGGTGCATGGATTTTACATAATTTGTTGCTTTTTTCTTCTGAATACTTTAATATTACTTCAAAATGAAAGGAAACTATTTCTATAAAATATGTCAGTCCTTCCAAGCAAATTTTTTATCATTTTAAATACTTTTTTTTTTTTTTTTAAAATCCTGTACCTTCATCAACAGTTCAAAGATGGAATAACACAAGATATGATGAAATACATCCATTTATTGACATGATTTGCAGGTCTTAGAAATTTGAGAAATAATTTTTGTTCCATGTTTCATACATGGTCTGTTTAAAACGTATGGAACTTTAGAACCAAAAATGGTCTAGAGTACATATGTATCTGTTCAATACATTTTTATATCAGATGCATTAACTTGAATTTTTGGCCTTGCTGTTTACTTCTGCTTGACCGGGCCCAACTATGATGTTGTGTAGTGTACCATATTTTTCGAGCTCTTAAGCCTCTACCCCCATCAAAAAACGACCGCGCGCCCCGCAATCCAGAGCGCCCTATACACGAATCCACTCGGGTGTCCCAGCACGACTTCAGTAAACCAACAAACCGCACCACCCACAGAACACACAAACACACACAGAGCAGACAGCGACCGCACAGCGAAACACACCCACAGCCACACTCATCACTCCACGCCGACGAGGAACGGAACAGAGGAACGAACCGAAAAAGCGAGTGCAATGTGCCACTTCTATACACAACTGAACAACTGAGTCACTGCGAACACGCCGACAATCCGTTGGTCCCAGACACACCCTCCCTACACGCCACAACTGAACAAAGCCCAGAGTCACCGTGAACGCACCAAACAAACAAAACCACTCACCCATCACACTGTTGTGTTTCCTTTAAAGTCCAGTGTGGTTTATTTGTGAAAAAAGTTCAGAAATAGACCATTTAATGACAGTGCGTCTTATAATCCAAAGCGCCTAATAGCCCAGAAAATATGGTATTGCAGAGAAATCACTGACATTGTATTGTTTGACAAAAGTGCATTTCTTAACTCGAACACATCTCCATTTCTAACAGCTGCGGACGAGGAGGCGTCGGCGGAGACCAAGGCCCAGGAGGAGGACATCAGCGCGGACGAGGAGCCCAGATCGGAGCCTCAGAATCAGGACGAGTGCGTGGAAGCCTCCCCTTCTCCTGCTTCAGAATGTCAGTCCTCCACTCCCCCAGCGTCCGAGGAGGAGACCGAGCGCTCAGAGCCCAGGTCCCCGTCTCCACCGCTGCACGTCTGCCCAGACTCTCCAGCCAGCAAAACTGACTCCAGGTATCACACTAATACTACTAATACTGTATACTATTCATTTATTTATTATTTTTTTAAGCTTTATTGCCATTGCCAGTGAACAAAACTCCCCAACTATGACTATGGGGGTATTGTGCAACGTAAAACGGTTATATAACAGTAACAAAATATAAAATGAGTTATGTATTTAAGGGATAAAATGGAGCTAAACAAATCAGTGAAAATAAAGGCTAAATCATGGCTGTGTCCTGGCCCAGTCCTGGTTTAGTCCTAGTCTTTTTTTTCTCCATTTAACACAAAAAATAGTACATTTTTTTCCTCCAAAGTCTGTCCGGTTTAGTCCTATTTTTTAATCCTGGCTTAGACCTGGTTTAGTTGTGGTTTTTAGTCCTAGTTTTAGTCCTGTTTTTTAATCTTGGTTTTAGTCCTGACCTTGGAAATGGTTTAGTCCTGAACTCCTGGGTTAGTCCATGTTTAGTCTTTGTTTAGTCCTTGTTTAGTCCTGGTTTTAGTCCTGGTTTTGGTCTTGGTGTAGTCCTGGTTTAGTCCTGGTTTATTCCTGGTTTTAGTCCTGGTTTATTCCTGGTTTTATTCTTGCTGTAGTCCTGGTGTAATCTTGGTTTAGTCTTGGTTTATTCCTGGTTTTAGTCCTGTTTTAGTCCTGGTTTTAATCCTGGTTTAGTCCTGGTTTTAATCCTGGTGTAGTAAAAGTAAAATAAAGACTAAATCATGTCTGTGATACTAAAAGTCTTTGTTAAACCACGTCTTGTGCAAAGTTCATATGAAACACAAACATTTTAATCATCAAAACTGTGAAAATGTCAAATGTTTCGCATAAATGAGTTTCCTTCCTCTGAACAAACAATAAAACTGTAGCTGTAACAAAATAATTTAGTAAAATATACCAAAAAATACTGTTGAATATTTGGTACAGAGGAGGGACAGTGGATATTTGGTACACTACAGAGAAGATTTATTTATGGATATAGCAAATAAAAACTCATAGTATTTCCAAATTTCTATAATTAGACAAACTTTATTGATCCACGAGGGAAATTATTTGGACACCGCAGCTCACACGTCACAATATATAAAATAATAATAATAATACCAGAGAACAAAAATATAAATGGCAATAATAAATTCAAAATAAGTAGCAGAAATAGTAAGTACTAGTATATCCCCTTTGGACCCTGCTGCTGTCTGTTTCTGGAGACGTTGGTGACACTGAAAACACATGTTCTATAAATTGCGCTGCAGCTCCGGAGTGTGTTTGGCTCATTACTCCGCCGTGTGCCACAGAGTCTCACTGCAGCCATTATTCGTGTCTATAAAAAGACAACAGCCTCCACACTCTCCACTTTAGCTCCTGTTTCTTTGACATTTCAACTGCACCCTGTAATACTGGTCCTTTATTGCGCCATTGGCTCTAGTAGACACTGTAGGTTTAACTGAACTCAATCTCAGTTTGGACGGTCGCAATTGGCAAATCACAAAGGGTGTGTTTAATAGACGCATCAAGAATCTCAGACTTCCGGTCATTGCGCAATTCATACTGAGAAGGATTTTCCTAAAAAGTGAGCGTCAATCCTCCATGTTTGTTTTCCCAGTGGGATGCGTCTATTGTCAAAGTCGATCTTTTCAAGTCTTTTGAACCATATCACTTTTGTTTCTGGTTCTGATATTGTCATATTTTAGTTTTGGGATTCGAACATCGTTAATTGTGTGGTTGTTGGATTCTAACAGTGGAAAACGGCTCGAGAAATTTGTTTGTGAACTCCATAAATGCAAAAGGGAATCAGATGTGTGTGACTGCAAACCTCTGTTCAAACTATTTCTCTTCCCAACGGAATTGAAAAATAGTGAAAGACGAAGGCGATGGGCAGGTTTGATCCACGGGAAGGACGAAAAAGGAAACCTTTAACTGCCTAAATCATCCCAAGTTTGCAGCGAACATTTTGTATTTGAGCATTTGAGGTGTGGAGATGAAGACAGACTAATAATAAAGGGTTACTCAAACAAAACACAACTTAAAGTATGTTTTTGAGGAGGTAACAGCCAGAGGGGGGATTTGCAAGTCGTGACTTGGACTCGAGTCAGACTTGAGTCACTATTTTTAGGACTGGGTTAAATGGACTAAGACTTGGGACTCGACTTGGACTTGAGGCCTGTGATTAGAATTGATAAGAATTGATGCTTCTCCTAAAAACTATGTTTTTATGAAATACTTTTCTCTTTACGGTTGATAAATGTAGATAAAGGAACAAACTGGAACATGTCCCTCCCACTTCTGTTTGGTACTTTTATGTAACTGAAGTACTGTGATGTGGTATCCTCAAATGTACTACAGTAATATACAGTACAATGCAGTAAAACAGAGGGAACTACAGAGCACATGATCCTTCCATTTCAGAGCAGACTACATGACAAAATAACTGATATTAAACACTTTTAAATGTTAATTCTTTCTGTTCTGACCATAATGATTCACACAAGATCTTGCCAAGATGTTCAAAAAGGAAAAAACAGCATTTCTACAACTGTTGAATAAATACTCATATAAAAACCCCATGTCTTTTTAAGTACAGTTTAGTTTAAAAGTCCTATAAATTGCAAAAACCAAAGCTATATTTGGTATTATGGTTTAAAGTCTTGAAGTGACTTGAAGCTCAAAGGAGACGATTTGGACTTGACTTGGATTTAAGGGCCAGTGACTCAAGACTCGACATGGACTTGCCTTGGGACTTGACTCGGACTTGAGGTCAAAGACTTGAGACTTACATGAGACTTGCAAAATGACGACTTGGTCCCACCTCTGGTATTAACAGCGTTTTAACATTTCCTAACCATTTTGTGTAATATAGGACCTTTAACAAACTGCTCCGTATTCGTTCATTAGTTCTCTCAAAAGTTAATTCTCCTGGACTAAATTGTGAAATGTGAACTCTATTATCCCACTATTAAAACCTAAATCGCAAATGTAATCACGACCACAATGGCTGTCATAAATCTCCATTACATATATTCCTCCCAGAGTGGCTCAGTCCCATGTCACATCCTCTCCCTCTCTCGTTTGTTTCAGTGAGAACTCTGAGGTCTGCGTGGATGAAGCGGAGAGGAAGGAGTCCGTGTCTGATGAGGTGAGCTGTGCCTTCACTCCCAGATGCTTTGAGTGGGCTCAGATTTGGTTTATTTCTGCGCTGTCATTTGTACACTTCACTGCATCGCTCCGAACTCTCTGGAAACTTCTGCACAGCCTCCACTTTTGAAATAAAACTGGTTACTCAAGCTTTTATAAACTTATTTTCTTAGTGAACTTTGACTTCACAAAAAATGTACACAAAGATTATTATTTGGGTTAGTGTTACTGTACTTTGTTACCCAGACATAATTAGAAATTTTATAATCTCACGTTATGTTTTTTAATCGTGTTAATCTTATTTTTAATCTCTAACTTTACTGTTTCTGTACGCGAGTTGCCTTATTATATTATGTTTTTATGTGTTGTTAGGACACAGTCTCGCACTGTGCAGTCCTGCTCCGCTCGCTCCCGCAAAGAATTGTAGCCTAATTTTCATTCCCGTTTTCGCCGCATCTGCGATAAACCTGCACATGTCTGATCTCTGCAAACATCGCGACACAGAACAGACTCACCTTCAGCATCAACATCCCTCTGTCACAGAAACAACACTCATATTCCACTGAGTCGTGTCCTTTAGTAGAAGCTGAACCACATCAGTGCACAAGAGCGTTTTTTGTTTTCTTTTCTTTTCTCTGCTTATTTTATGTAAATTAGCCATGCAGTTTTAAGTTTTGTTTCTGTGATACTTGCGCAAATCTGCATTAAACACATTCTAATGTCAAACAGGCTGATGTGGCTCTAGAGTGTTTATCTTTATATGTTGTAAAGTTGAGTTTATTTATGCAGATCAGTAACAGTAATAATAATGATGATAATTTAAATATAAAAACGTTAATGATTAATCGAAAATCGATCGTTAATTCTCCAGACGATCGATTAATAAAATTTCATCGAATGCCCATCCTTAATGGGGACGTTCACATTCTTAAGCTCTATTAAAGATGGAGAAACGCAAAGGAATTGTCTAAAATGTGTGTGAGATTAGACCACGTTTGCAAGTTTAGGCTGCTTAAAATCTTTATTAATGCCAAAATGAAATGATGTATGATAGGCAAACATGAATCATTTGTATATTTTACTTTACACTTATATTTAGTTTGTGGGACTGTAGTTTATTATCCCACCCGCCCCGCTCCCACATCGTGCACACACACAGTTAAAGTTTGACAAAAGAACACAGTGGAATGTCAATGACTGCATCTGTTAAAGTTTGTTAAACAATAAATGACATTATAAAGTCCCTTTTTTTGTTATATATCAGTCTTTTGATCTGCCACAATAATGTAATAATGAATTTAAATGAAAATACCTGAAGTTGAGGCTTTTCTCAGTCATTTATAGGTGAGATTAAAAAGAGATTAATTAGATTAATTAATTACAGATCATAATTAATTAATCTCTCTTTTTTTTAATTGCTTGACAGCACTAGTTGTGATTTCATGTGGAACCCACCAATAGAAATGCACGTAGAACACCCTAGAAGAATCAATGGGCCCGTCCACATGAAATTATGACCTCAAATTCTACAACATGAACGCAACTTCTTGATGAATCAGCTTATTTGACTTTATGCAGTAAAGTTTGGCAATAAATTCTAGGCTAAGTTATTTTTCAGTCTTTTCCAAGTGTTCATGTGCATATATCAACACAATACAAAACAAACACCACAATACTTAAAAGCATCGTCCTTTTTTTTACTTCCAAACGCTGTGATTCGTCATCTCTGTCCTCTGTCTGACTGTTGCCATGGTTTCTCTGTTGCCAGGACAACTGCCAGGTGTTCTACATCCACAACCTCCCGAGCAGCGTCACCCAAAACATGCTGCGCAAACGATTCCAGGTTTTTGGGAAGGCCGAGGACTGCAAAGTCATCATCTGCAACGAGTGAGTGTCCCCGCGTGAACCACAGCCCGAACATGGAACGCTATTTATGTCGCCAGGACAACGGGAACTTTCATGGGTCAGGAGTTTTAGGTTCGCTGTGGAAAATGGAGGGAACAGCAGAGGGACAGAGTGTAAGACGAAGGGAGTAGACCTGTCATCGTAACACGTTTTCAAGTGCTGAAGTAGATGTAGGCAGTGTTGGGAGTGTTACTTTTAAAATGTATTCCCCTACAGATTACAGATTACATACCCCAAAATGTAGTTTGTAACGTAATCCATTAAATTACTTAAAGTGAGTAATGTAATCTGAATACTTTGGATTACTTGATTTGCTGTAGAGAAGCAAAGACGAGGAAATCTTCACATAAGATGTTTTGTCTGATTAAAGAAAATGAAAGTCCAATCTTTACTTAACTGTATTAAAAATATTATTAATAGAAGAGGAGGAGACACAGTCTGCGCAGTATGGTTTAGTCCTGTTAAATCCTGGTTTAGTCCTGGTTTAGTCCTGGTTTTAGACCTGGTTTTAGACCTGGTTTAGACCTGGTTTTAGACCTGGTTTTAGACCTGGTTTTGACCTGGTTTTGACCTGGTTTAGTCCTGGTTTAGACCTGGTTTAGACCTGGTTTAGACCTGGTTTTGACCTGGTTTAGTCCTGGTTTAGTCCTGGTTTAGACCTGTTTAGACCTGGTTTAGACCTGGTTTAGACCTGGTTTAGACCTGGTTTTAGACCTGGTTTAGACCTGGTTTAGACCTGGTTTTAGACCTGGTTTAGACCTGGTTTTGACCTGGTTAATGTCCGGCAATGAGTGGAATTACAAACGATAATATATATTTTTTATTATTAAAAATTATTAAACAAATTAAACAAATTATTAAACGATAATATTTAAAGTAGTTCTTGCCACTGACACAGAAACCGAGCAAGCGTGTCTTAATACACTATATCAAAAGCTTTTATTTTGTTTTACATTTTACTCCCATATTACGCTATTTTCTGAGCTATGTTCTAATAGTTTCCTCATCACAAACAGACCTGGAGTTGCGTTTTGTTTCATTCACACAAATCCTGCATATTTAGACTGAGTTCTTCTCTCATATACTGTGGTCCAAAGCAAGAAAATGATCTGACGAAGGCTTTTTTTACAGAAACGTTATTTAAAAGTAAAAAAAAAGCTTTTGGACATGGGCCATCTGAGTGTGCTATGCTTCACTTTTATTTTACTGCTCCTTGCATTTGCACTCTCTACAAGAACTTTAGTGTGCATTTTCTGTTTCATTTGAGTTCGTCTCTCAAGCAGAAATCACTCTGTTCCACCTTGTGACATCATGTTGTAATGCAGGAAGTGCTTCACTGTGTTTTTGACTCCACACACCTTCACTGGAGTCATCTGGATGATTTTATCTCTTGAATTGCCAATCTCTACTGAACTAAAGGTAAAAAGTAGCTACAGTATTATCAGCATTATTAGGCGCTCTGGATTATAAGACGCACTGTCATTAAATGGTCTATTTTTGAACTTTTTTCACAAATAAACCACACTGGACTTTAAAGGAAACCCAACAGTGTGATGGGTGAGTGGTTTTGTTTGTTTGTTCGTTCACGGTGACTCTGGGCTTTGTTCAGTTGTGGCGTGTAGGGAGGGTGTGTCTGGGACCAACGGATTGTCGGCGTGTTCACAGTGACTCAGTTGTTCAGTCGTGTCTAGAAGTGGAACATTGCACTCGCTTTTTCGGTTCGTTCCTCTGTTCCGTTCCTCGTCGGCGTGGAGTGATGAGTGTGTCTGTGGGTGTTTTTTGTCGCGCGGTCGCTGTCTGCTCCGTGTGTGTTTGTGTGTTCTGCGGGTGGTGCGGCTTTGTAGTTTACTGAAGTCGTGCTGGGACACCCGAGTGGATTCGTGTATAGGGCGCTTCTGGATTGTCGTTTTTTGATGGGGTTGGAGGCTTAAGAGCGCCCCGATAGTGCTGAAAATACAATACAAAATGCCTTTAGGTCAGTTTTGCCTCATTTTATTTTTGTTTAATTAAAGGAAATGAATGCTATTTTCAGTTAGGGGTGTGCATTGCCGTGAGTCTGACGATACAATACATATCATGATATGCATGCCATGATTCAATATATCACGATATTTCCCTATCCATACTAAAACATAGTACAACACAGTGTTTCCCGCAGAAAATTGATTAGGCAAGGAGGTGCTGGTGAAAGTAAACAACCATAGTTTTGCGAGGATTCATATGGGACGTAGTAAATCAGCAGAGACACGAGTGGATTCGTGTATAGGGCGCTCTGGACTGTGGGGCGTGCAGTCTTTTTTGATTGGGTTGGAGGCTTAAGAGCGCGCCCTATAGCCCGGAAAATACGGTATTTGAAAACTGCCACTACATGACATCACAAGGTGGAACAGCATTTTGAGCTTTGGAGATTCAGACTAATAAAAGACTAATAAAAAGATCCTTTTATACTCAAACACATGTGAAGGAAACAAAATACAACTGTTTCATATGAGGATTTATAACATGGCTCACAAGAATCCATTTTGTGTAATATTGGACATTTAACTATACACATTTGACAACTCTATAAAATAAAAAGTAAAAAATGAAAACTGCCTAAACCAGGACTAGACTGAAGTAGGAGCACGTCAGAGTGTGAATGCAGCCTGGTTTCACTGCGTAAGGAGGGAGCAGAAATGGGACAGAGTGTACTTGGTGTCATTCACAGGATTTTAAAGGAGAATTACTGCCCTGCTTTGAAAATAACAGGATTTATCAACTGTATGTTATGGGGGGAGACTTTATAGATAATATAGATTTATAGATATTAGTAAATGGCCCGGGTGAAACGTTTGACATTGGCGGCGAGATGGCGAGTTTGCTTTTCCTTGCTCAAAGTAGTTCCTAAAATCTGTGAATAGTACTGGTATGGCATGTCACGCAAACAGTTTTTTAAGCACAATATATTGCTACAGAGATATACTATGATAAATGACAAGATTGAAACTACTTTATGCCTCAGATACAAAAACAACAATGCAAGATAATCCTAGTAAACCATTTTTAAATAGAAATAACAAAATGAACCAACATTTTCAATAGAAGTCACTTATTCAAAGTTACTAAAACAAAAATGCACCAAATATTCCTGCTTTTACGAAGAAATTGTACATATAATAAATATTGAGCCCAAAATATTATATGTTGTTTCAGCTTTTATATATATTAGGCAATAGGTCAGTACAGTTGTAGTAGTAGTAATAGTAGTACTAGTTGTAGTAGCCATAAAGTTACAATAAATGTATGTTGTTTTAAACTTGTTGTAGGGAGAGGTGTGGTGTCATTAAGATCCGTCAGAGCGGAGGTCAGAGGCATCGGAGAGAAACCGTGTTCAACAGCGCCCCTGCAGGTCTGAGGAGGCTCACCAGGAAGCGCTACATCGACCTCGGTAAAGACACACGTGCACACTTACATGATCATGTCCTCTACACTGGTTTCAGTTTGGGGTTAGATAGTACCCTCCGGAGGAACAGTCTACTGTGATTCGTCATTCTAAGTGATGACATTTAAGAACAGGGTTATGGACACTCTGCAGCTGATATCATCAACATTTCCTGGGGGGTGAGGCTAACTGGAGGCACAGCTCTGTCTGAAGCTTTAGACCAGGGGTGAACAATATGTCAATCACCAAGGTAGTATGGGTAGATTGTAGTGTTGTAGTACTCAAGATCGGCCTTGAGTTTGCCTAATAAAAGTGCATCTGTATTTGTCAAGATGTGCGTTTGGTAAACAAGGCTGGTAAATACCACTGCAAAACCAGAAGGAAAATGTAACACGAGGTAGGTACTTGAAACAACAAGTTTAGTCCTACTCACTCTCTTCAAGTACCTACCCTCTTTCTTCACAGTTTTCTGTAAAGTGCCACTTTCTTCACACTTCCACTGGCACTTTACAGAAAAGTGTGAAGAAAGTGGATAGGTACTTGGAAAAAAAAACACATTTAGTCCTACCCACTTTCTTCACAGTTTTGTGTAAAGTGCCAGTGGGAGTTCTTTTAAAGAAGGGGTTCTCAAACTGTGGGTGAGGCTCCAAAAAAAGGGGCACAGAGTGTTTCAGTGCAGCACAGTTTGCTTGGATTATTTTAGGCCTGAATGAACATTTATCAGATCAAATGGAGATAGATTTATAAAAACTTATTTATGTGAGTCAACCTTTTCCCACATGAAGATCATTAAGTTCAAGTACCGTCTCACCATAACTGATTCTCAATATATTTATAAATAAATAATTTGCATTTTGGTAGTAGGTGGATAATTTTGACTTGGTAATTTTTTTAAGTAGCTCGCATGCTGAAAAAGTGTGGGCACCCCTGTTTTAGAATTTAACCTAAACAGACCAGAAAGAACTGACTTATTTGGAGCTACAAGCTGAGCTGATTTATGCTGTTAGACAAGTCCCTCTCAAGTAACATTACGCTCACAAGCAGTTAGCCAATAGTTTAGTCAGTTAGTCACCTTTTTTGTTGAAAATCAAACACCTAAACCATGAACTCTCATACAGATCACAGGAAAATGTAGTTTGAATCCATTTTTCCATTTTTCAGACATTCAGGATGTGTGTCACCATGGTAACTGCTGAATATTCCGCTTAGACTTACATGCGCCTCCCCCAGTATGATGTCAATGCAAAGTATCAAAACTCGGGGTGTGCAAAAATATTCAAATATCGATATATCGTATAGTTTAATGTGATGATACAGTATCGATATCATGGTCTTCTGTATCGATATATTGGCAAGAGTATTTTTTTGTGTATTTTACTAAATCATTTTGTTACAGGGCTACAGTTTTGTTGCTTGTTTAGTGGAAGGAAACTTGTTTATGCGACACATTTGACATTTTCACTGTTTTGACGATTAAAATGTTTGTATTTCATATTGACTTTGTACAAGAAGTGATTTAACAAAGACTTTAGTATCACAACCATGATTTAACCTTTATTTTTTATTGAACCGTATCAAATTGATTTGAAATATATAGTATTGAATCGAAAGCTCACTGTATCGAGATATGTATCGTATCGTGGCCAATGTATCGAGGTATGTATCGTATCGGCAACTTCTAAATGATACCCAGCCCTAATCAAAACTGTTCTTCTTTTTTGGCACATTGTTCAAAACTAAATTGTTCTATCTGTTGTGAATTGTGTTCCAGACGAGGCCGGCCCTGGTCCAGTGAAGAGCAAGTACGACGCGTTGGATTTCGACACTCTGCTCAAAGAAGCCCAGAAGTCCCTGCACCGCTGACAGTACAGCGCCCCCGCCTGGCCAGCCTTAGTAAAACTGCAGCAGCCTCCTCCAAAAACAGAAAGCGTCTTTCCTGAAAACCACGGGGACTCCTGACTCCTCCATGCAAGGCGACCTCGCTAATGTTTACATTTTTACCATTGGAAGTAAAAACGGACCTTGTGTTTTGTTTTTGTTTTAGTTTTTTGTTGCTTTTAGTTCTTTCTTTCACCGGAGGATACTGCTTATAATTGAGGAAGCCACTCGGAGCCCAAAAGGAAGACGAAGAGGAGGAAAGAGAGGAGCTTGACTTTTTTAAACACAGCAATGGTACAAACTGCTGAAGATTCAATAACAGAAAGCTGCTTCCTGTGTATTCTGGTGTTGTTTAGCTGCGTCTTTTGGGTAAATTTTGGGCGCGAGAGACTTACGTAGCGGATCCTTTGCTAGCCCTGCGTCGCGTTGGTCTTCGTGATGTGTGTTAAAAGCGTGTGCGTGTCCTATGTTTTCTTCGTTTTGTATAAAAAATTAATAATTAAGGAGAGCTATTCTGGTCAAAAACGCGGCGGGAAACTCCTCTTCCCGCCATGAAGTCCGGTCAGTCGTGCGGTTGTGTAATCGGAAAAAAACATGTAAAAACTCAAGCTTTGTTTTAGCAAAAAATCGTGTATGTGATCAGTTTTAAAAATCTGTCGTGTGTGTGTTATGGACAAATAATATAACAGCATAACATTTAATCATCTGACTGATAAAAGTTTACAAATTGAAAATGAAGTTGAAAAAAAATCATGTTATTATTTTGTTTGTAATTGTAGTGCTTCCTTAATTTAATCTATGCACTGTACGGAGCGAAAAGTCTCCGCTGTCCTCCACTCTCCCCCTTTTTCACGTGTAATCCGCCATGTTGATTTTCAGTACTGAGGCGTGCGCTACCGGCTGCTTGATTTCTTGGTTTTATGGTTTTATGGTTCGTCAAAAACCCTTTGTTTATGTGGAAAATATGTTCCTAACCTGTTCAAATTCTTGCCAATTAACTTATGATAGCACTTTAAAATTTGATAATATATTAAAATTATCTATTTGGTAGTTACTGTATTGTTTCACATGGACGCTTAGCATTGTTAGCCATTAGCATCTTAGCTTGATACGAGATTATTTGTGATGCTAGCAAACGTCCTAAAAACTGTCCCATTTTTGATTAAAGTATTACTAAAAGTTATAAAGCACTAAACTAATTTACCTAATCAGCTTTTAGATCAAATTTCTGAGTTTGCGCCTTTGTTTTGAGCAATAGTGTTTTTGTGATGCTAATTTAAACTAGCTAATCATTAATAGGGATGTAACAATAACCCAAATATCGTGATATCGTATCGTCAAAACATCGTGGGCCGTCACAGTATATCGAATTGAAAGGCTTTTCGCTTAAAAGTATTAAAAAAGAGGGAACTGCATACTTTACGTCTTTTACTACATAATAAAATAATTGTTTTTAAGCACTTTTAAATCTTTGTAAGTAATGATTCACTCTGAAGACTTGTCAAGGTTTTTAAAAAAGGAAAAATTGGAGTATGTACAATAAATATCGCAGTAATTATCGTACCGTGAGATTTGGATATTGTTACATCCATGATCTTTAAATTAAAAATAAACATTTCCTCTAACTATTCATTATAATTGAAGTGGATAATAATGATGTGAACCTGGACTGAATGGTTAGAAAACTGAGCCTCTTCACTCGCAGCTATTTTGATCGTGAGAAACTATAAAGTGGTCACCGTATTGGGTTTCGCAAGAGAAATGACAAAGTTAATAGACATTTTTTCCACATTTACATGAGTTTTAAGTACTTTGGGTCCCACTCGTCCACAATGACTCCACAGTGAATGCAATGAAACCCTTACTGTTTACATTCGGATAGAAGCAAGCAGGACCAAAATGGGGAAACGCAATACTGGCTTTAACCGCCCTCACGCCATTTTCAGTCAGATCTCACCATAAATAAACCGGAATTATCAGAGGCTATGTTAACGCTATTGCATTTTTAATCAGACACTGTGATTGTGATAATATAGCGGATTGAAACTTGAAAACTCGCAAAAATTTCTTAACATTTTGGATCAAATTGTTGTGGTCTTCCCTGATTAATTTTTTTTTTTTTTAAACAAATTTCACAAGACTGTTTCAAAATACTAAAATATTGTAAAACATTGAACAAAACTGAAGAAGTGCTACATAAATTGGTGTATATTCCGTAACTTTTCTGGTGGAGGGTCCGTCCGAGATCTTATTGCTTTGTCTGGAATGTTTCGCAGTATGGCATTAAACCTTTCTATCTTCTCGGAGACCAAACTAGACCAACTTACAGGTCAACTCTGTGGAGAGACGATCCCGCTAACAGTCAGAATGCCTGTTTTTGGAGGTATCTTTGAGCTACAAAACTACCTAATCGTAATCAAACAGATATAAAGTAGAGATGTTTAATGTCATACTGTGGAACATTCCAGGCAGAGCAATGACGTCTCCATAGAACCGAACAGTTGACGGACCCCTCCAACCAAAAAGTTACATAGGCTACATTCAGACTGCAGCCTGAAGTGACCCAAATACGATTTTTTGGCCCCTATGTGACCTCTATCTGATCTTTTAATGACAGTCTGAACGACACAGATCCGATTTTTTCAAATGTGACCCAGGCCACTTCGATATGTGGTCCTGAAACCGATACATATCCGATCTTTTGACATGCGACTTCAGTGTGAACGGCCAAAGCGCATTCATCCGACCTACACGTTATCAACAAGCCACAAACGTTACTATTCTGCGCTGAAGTAGGCGAAAATTGTGTCACTGAAGTGAAGCACATCACCACTCACCACTCTTGGCTACGTCTCCACATCCACACGTTCCTTTCTACGGACGTCGCTGCCACTGTCCCACAAAACACCACGTCCAAAAACCTCATCCTTCTCTTTCTCAATCTCCTCCTTACAACAAGTAAGCTGTTCATGTTCTGGCTCCGGTACGAGAGGAACTTTAAAATCTCCAGGTGCTCAATGCTCATGTCCATGTTTGGACAACTTCCATAAACACGGAGCACGCTCGCTGAGGTTGACGTCGTCATGTCCTCCAGTGTGCATGCGGGACACTTTTGGGCTGTTTACTGTTCACACTGGAGATCACATACAAGTCACATTTAATTGGAAATGTGAACGACCTCGCAAAAACATCGGATTTCACAAAAAAATCCGAATTGAGCGTTAAGCCCTGCAGTCTGAATGTAGCCATAGAGCACCTTTACCTTCCCTTTTTGGAGTGACGCAAATTAATTCAAGTTGTTCTATGCACTTGTGTTAACATAGCTGGTAATACAACTGTACAATATATGAACAGCCAATTATAAGCTATTACAATGGTTCAAAAGTACCAGGAAAGGCCAATTGAGTTTACTCTTAAAAGAATGTACCGTTTTTGAATGTAATCGTGTTGCGTTCCCCATTTTCTGCTCGCCCAAAGATTGTTAAAGTAAAAGTAAACGCAGCCCGTAGCGTACGCCTCAAACAGCAGAGTGATAGAGAGCTTTTCAGCCTGCCAATTTAAGGTGGATTTCATTTAAACCACCTTAAAACTGAACTGCAGCCAGGGAACGGTGCTTAGAATTTAAAAAAACCCAGCACGATTTCTTTATTGTGTCTGGGAGGTACTGTATCAGCTGAGCATCTCTACCTCATAGCAAAACATCACCCCTGCTCTCTATTCTCTGTACAACAACGCAGTTAATGGTCATTTTTCTACATACAAACATCATAGGAATGGGAAATTTTCACACCAAGATTTCAAAAATGTGTAAAAAAAAACTCTGTGTTTCGTCTTTGTCTTGTGGTTGACACTACTGAAGTTTTGCGGGTTGGTTGGGAGCAGATGAGCAAACGTTTCGGTAACCGGCCTGGGCCTTAAATGCACTGGGAGGCAATGATTGGTCTGAAAATCTGTTGCCGTGACACCCTCGTTTTTCTTGCTTTCGTTAAGGACTCTTTGGACCAGTTGACCGAATCTAACTGCTCATCTGCTCCTGTTTCAAGAAACCAGTCTGGCATTTCGCTGTGACCGTACTATTGCAATGCCATTTTGAAACTCAACGTAACGGCAAAACTCAGATCTATTAAGCTGAAATATGTTTGGAAATGTTCTGCTGTTAAGACTTTTCAGGTAGTAAACCATTGACGAAATTGGTCATCTTTGACAACTACGCAAACCTTAAAAATGACAAAAATCGAAAGTGATGGACTCTGAGTTTCAGTTGTGATACTTAGAAATTAAATTGCAATAGTATTTTCATAGCTTAAGGGTTTGGGACTACATGGCTTAGTCTAAAAAAACCCAAAACACCCTTCTGATTTTCTACCCTTTCTTCTCTCTCTCCGTCTCTCTCTCTTTCTCTATCTCTCTATCTAATCAACACACAAACAATTGAATGTTTACATCACTTGATTCTCCTTTGACTTTTATTAGGAACGCACACTAAGTACAAAGGCGCCTTATTCAGTGTTTTGAACAAAATATATATATTTAACAGCAAGCTGAGTGGCGTGGAGGATAGCAAATTCTCCATGTATTTTTCGCTGATGTCCAAAACTACCACTTTAGTGCTATACATACAAATGGAGACATCGTGGATCTGTGAACAACTGAATTTCTGAGTTTTTGTGCTTGGTATGTATACTACTAAAACGTGAGAGAATGTGCTGGTTTACATATTAAAAGAGAAAATATAATATATAGATATATTATAATGTGTATATAGCACTATGCCTCGTTGTAAACATAAAGTATATTGTGTGTGTTTTAAATGGTGGCGGGTCACAGTGGATTGCTAATCAGACAGCAGATGGTCTGGCTTTAGTTCAAATGTTCAGTTTTGTGTGGAAGCTGGTTCGGGCCATATTGGGTGGAAAGATTTCGTTTGTCACAGCGTTGAAAACTAAAGTCTTCGCGGAAACTTTGTCAAAACATATGGGTTACACCGAAGTCCATATGTTGCAATTTAATATTATTTTTTTTTACATGTTCTTGTGTTGTCAAGTTATATAATATCAACAAATGATGAAGAAATTATAGTAGAAAATCTGATACAACCCAATACTAAAATGAATATTATTGAAATGTGATACTTATTTGAGCAGGTTTCGATACTGCATTACATTAACAAGACAAAATTTTAGCGTTTCTGAACAGCTGAAGTGTTTTTTTGAGCTTTATCTGAACAAATTTAAGACCTCGTGTTAAGATAGTGTGTGAAAAAGACATTCTTTTACTGGTATTGTTATTGGAATCAAGTATAAACTCAACTCCTTAGTATAAAAATGGAGTTTGAAATGTTTGTATCCAGACAACACTTTTATCGTACAATTATTTGACAATGCAAAGTTGTAAAGTTGCAAGCGATTACTACGACTATGACTAATCTGGAACTGCCAACATACAACATCTAACTTGTCAATTAAAACTGAAGTACTAGCTAAAAGTAAACAAATGGTTAGACTTTTGAGAAAAGCAACATCGTTATTCATTTTGTGACTTACCAGATCTACCGCTCCAATGTGGCGTGAAGTGAACCAACTGCCATCATTTCAGGGAGGAAATCGAAGGGAAATGACTTCACTTCAGAGTCCAACACTGTCGTAATCAAAAGACAAAAAAAAAAAAGAGCTATCCCTTTAGACTATCACTAGAAAGGTGTTTGTTTTGCTGTTGTAAGAAAATTATTTTTGGATATTTTTTCTGTCTTCTTGAAAAGCAATTTAAGATGCAATACGTAATAATAATAATAATAATAATAATAACAAGAATCTTATCTTTAAAACAAGCCTTTATTTTCCGAGGTAAGGTGGAGTCAGGGTGGGGCACTTTTTCAGTACTGTACGTTGTAGACTGCTTTTAAACACAAAAATACAAAAAAATTATTACAGGAATGCGGTCAAGCTTAACACTTAACACCTTCAGATAATAAATCGTACTAATATACTCTTGCACATAGATCCTACGTAGAGGAAAGCGCTTTCTCAATTGAAAGCTACCGTAACTATCCACAGTTTTAAATGGTGCACAGCTTTGTTTGGGACTATTTTTCAGAAACAAGATACATGTACGGCAACAGAATGTGGAGAGGGAAGTGAGAGGTTCGACCCGGTAAATGGTTGTCAGATAACTTCGTGTTAAAACGCTGCACACGCCGTAGAAAGCCCTGGTTTCACTGCTGCTTCACAATACAGAGGTCACTGCATAGGACTAAGCCACACAGCGCTAACAGGTTAAACAGAGAGATTATTCTAGATGCAAAAGAGCAATGGCCCCTAATGTGCTACTTGGCAATAGGTAATTCTGTGGAGTACTCTTCTTCCATCTTCTTTCTCATCAAATACAAAACAAAGCCATAGTTAAACAAGCCATTTCATGTTTCTCACCGTTTTCAAAATGGCTGCTAAACATGACGTCATCACTAAACAGAGCTACAATATAAAACTTTACAGATTATTTTTTACCAAGCAAGTTACGGGTAGGCGGCATTTCAATGTTCATGGCATATTTCATGTAATTTTTTTAAAGCTATGGAGGATTACCATAGTTAAAGATCATTTAGCGGCGGTAGCCAGTACCAGGCTAATCGTGTTGCTAAATGTTTCCATTCCCAAAGATATAGCAATAAGCTAGAAACCATTTAAGTTCGTCATTAGTTTTGTGTAAACTAAAGCCATAAAAATACTTGTTTGTTTAGTACATTTACAAAAGATAAATAATTATCATATATTTCGCCGTCGGTCTCGTAGTCATGCACGTGTTCAAATTTTCATGTTTCAAGCTACTTTTCCGCCAAAGAAAATTAGCATTTGTCGAGCAGTAAAATGCGATTTTCTTGTACTCAGTAGACTGTCAGGGTCTGGGCCGAGGTACAGAGTGTAGATGTACTGACCTGCGTAGATAGCCATATCCTTTTTGTACTGATGTCCTAAATGTACTGTTTTTATTGTTAGTAGTGTGTACAGTTTTGCTAAGCTAACGCATGCTGATGTCGCGGCTAAGCTAGTTCCTGTGTGGTCTGTCGCTGTGTAACCCTGTGCAAATTGTATTATTCAGAGTTTTTTTAGGGCGATATCGTGTGAGTGTGTGCGTCTCTGGGCTTTCTATGGCGTCTGCTCTCTCTGCCGAGGTAAACAACAACATGGCAAGCCTTAAACACTTTGGGGACAACGAAGCTACCACTAGCTTTCACTATAACTGTCTCAACTCTTTCCAATCCAATGTGGTTTATTCTTGAATAATTACAGACGTAATTACTTTTTCAATAGCCATATTATAAAAGCTATATACATATATATGAATATATATTTGTGTGTTTGTGTAGATATCTAGATTATTATATACTTTCTTATAGAAAACGTTGGTGTTGACCATTCTCCTCAGTGTTTGAGAACACATTTCAACATTATACTATATACAGTTGTCACTTGGTCTAGGTCCTAGGTCAGTGGATGACAAATCCAAAAAATGTACAAAAAAATCCTTCCAAAGGGAAACCCCATGTCAGAATGCAATACTTTTATTTCCACTTCTTTCAGAGTGATGGTGATAAACCCTAAGAGGCAAGTTGACCAAAAAGAAAAAAAAAAAAAAAAAACTTCAATAATATATAAACGTCTGGCTCATGTCGGCTTTGAGCAATGTTTTTGACAGCCACGGTTTGAGTTTTGTGTGTTTCCGTTTCTCACCAACGATTTTATTCATTTTTCAAAAAACAATGTATCTGTGCGCTCTGTCCGGGTCGGCCGCCGCACAGTAAACTCCTCACTGTAACATCTGTAAAGACACGTGTGGCTCACCCGGGCGGGTGCAGTGATGTCAATAGGCACTTACACACGTAGGGACTGCATATTCTGCTAAATGTGAGTCTGTTCTCGGTGATGACAATATTTCGCAAAAGGGCATACATTGTTTTTATTATTGTTTGTCATTATTATAATATTACTATTGATTTGTCTATTTACAACTAATGACTATCAGATTTCACGAATGATTTTTTAAACTTAGATTTTGGTAAAAACAAAGGTAAATACTACTAGTGAGATTTTATATTTTTACATATGTTGGTTTTATTGTGTTCCTTTTTTATTTATGCGACACTTAGTTTGGATGTCTTTAAATGGTGTTTTATTTTCCGTTTTGTGTGATTTCATATATGTCTTGAGAATGTGGAGACAAAGGCATTTCAGTATTTTTGAATTGTTAAAATCTAGTTTCATAGAAGTATGGAAGTACCTGATGTTATAAATTATATTTTAATTCATGTAAATAGTTTAAAACAGAAGACTATGGCTTCCTTTTAAACTGATACATTTCTCTTCAGAGATCGTTTACATTCTGAAACTGTAGAGATGTGCTCCTCTCATATACTGTATAAAAGTACATATATTCATTGATTTGCCTCCAAGAAATAAAATCCTAATGAACAGCAGTTTTGGGCTTAAGTGATTTTTTTGGCGTTAATTTCAGCAGGTTCAAATGTGTTCAGTGGACTGGACCTAGTCTGAGTTCAAGATCGCTCTCATCCAAGAAACACACTGTAGCCGTAGTGCTTTACACAGAATTTTCTGCACATTATGCTCCTCTGCAGGGGAGTGGACGGGGGAGACAAAGGGGTCTGTTGTCCCTGGGTCTTAGGGGCCCAAAATCGGAACCTCTGCCTCTTAACTGTTATGGGGGGGGATCATCCCTCGTGACTGTAGCTCAATGTTGAGGCCCCACCTCCCACCCCCAGTAAGGTGTCCAGGTTTTCACAAATGGAAAACCATTTCGAGACTTGAAACGGTCTCGAAATGGTTTCGCAGATTTTTGATTTTTTTATTTTTTTACGCATGGGTGGGTCAGGACTAAACCAGGTCTAAACCAGGACTAATCTTGGACTTAAGAGAGAGAACGCCGAGCAGTTTGTCTGCAAAGCTGAGCCGGTCCTTTCTCCTGCGGTCACCTGCAAGTCTGTCCTAACAGTGAGTACTGTTTCAGTTCTGGTTAAGTCCTGGTTTACTCCTGTTTTAGTCCTAGTTCAGTCCTGGATTAGTCCTCCTCTTCAGTCCTGGAGTCAGTCCTAGGTTAGTCCTGGTTTAGTCTTGGTTCAGTTCAGTAAGCAGTGCAAAAGTTTGATATATTCTCGGGTTAACGGGCGAGTGTGGTGTTGTACTGGGATTCTCCAAAAATGGACCTGTGCAGGACTCTGCGCTGTAGGCTCCATTACGGAATAAATGAATTTTCAGTTGGTTAAATAAAGAAGGAGGAAAATAACAAGGATGACAGCAGCAATAAGTTTTAAGAAGGATGCAAAAAGGGTTGTAACTGTCCTGTCTGAAAAAAAAGTGTGTAAAGTTCTTGGTGAGGGTTTCTACAGACTTAAAACAGATATAATGATTGTAAAATATAAAGTTGATACTTCGCAGATTTCACCTATCGCAGGTTATTTTTAGAACATAACCCCCATGATAAACGAGGGACACTGTACTCTCACCTCACAACCTGTGCACATGGTCTCCCACTTGTACCGACCGGGATGGAAAATGGAGAATTTCTTGTCCAAGTCATTGTTAAATGCGCATTTGCGTTTCAGCATGTTGCAGACTGACTGACTGTTTGTGTTTGCTCGCTCTTTTGAGTCACAGAGAACTAAGAGAGACGCTCAGTTTAATGCCCCAATGAACAGTAATGAAAACCTGGACATTTGCATCACTTAAAAAAAAAAAAAAAAAAAAAAACAGACGCCCAGGACAGGACGCAAAATACGGACATATCCGGGGAAAAAACGGACGTTTGGTCACCCTAACATTATTGTAACATGCATTTATTTTTTGTATGTTACAGTTTTACAATCAACTCTTCAGTAAATGTCCAAAACAGCTCGAGGCTTCCAGGGTGTTTGTTGAAGACACTGTTCGCTATCTGTAAAACTAGTTCCTAAACACTAGTGGAGGCAGAATATCTTTAATTTAAAAAAAAATTAAATAACTAGTATGCAAATCTATCTATCTATGTATGTGTATCTATATTTAGGCTCTAGTGCTGTCCTGTTATCAAAATGGCTTCTCTCATCCTTGTAGATTATGTGACTCTCATACTTCCTGCACACGTTCACGACTAAGATCTGTCTTCACGGTCGTAACAGAGAAGCTGCGATCGCTCCGCTGAACCCCGGTCTCGTCCTCCTGGTTAAACAGCGTCACATTAAGAGCTACCGTCAATTTTACGCCTGGATGCCCTCCCCCCGTTCACAGTCATTGCCTTTTACTCATGTAGGGTCCCCGGTCTCCTGTCAGCTGCGCGCCCGCTACAGCACCCACGGGAGCGCTTGTTTCGTCGATTCAGAAAGGGCTCGCGGTAAAAGAAGGAGAAGAAGAAGAGAACGCGCGGTACCAGGAGCGATATCGACCGACGGACACAGTATGAGGTGTAGGAGATGCTGTGGAGGTCTGTTGCTTGGTAAAATATTAAAATAAAGCTATATAAAACCCCCAGTACACTGATTTATTTAAAGTATTCTTTTATTTTTGACCACGACTGAATGAATTACGAATGTTTAGAGTCCATACAGAGGTTACTTGGCAAACAGTGTGTATGTCATGAGATTTTAAGTGTTGGGAAGGTTACTATTAAAATGTATTCCCCTACAGATTACAGATTACAGACCCCAAAATGTAGTTTGTAACGGAATCCATTAAGTTACTTAAAAAAAGTAGCATAATCTGAATACTTTGGATTACTTGATTTGCTGTAGAGCAGAAAAGACGAGGAAATCTTCACATAAAATGTTTTGTCTGCTAAAAGACAATAAAAAGGTCAGTCTTTAAAAATATTACGGACAGAAGAGGAGGAGACATGGTCCACGCAGCATGGTTAAATCCTGTTAAATCCTGGTTTTTTTAGACCTGGTTTAGACCTGGTTTAGACCTGGTTTTAGACCTGGGTTTAATCCTGAGTTAGTCCTGAGTTAGTCCTGATTTAGTCCTGGTTAGAGGTTCCTGAGTTTAGTCCTGTTTAGTCCTGATTTAGTCCTGAGTTAGTCCTGGTTTAGTCCTGATTTAGTCCTGAGTTAGTCCTGGTTTAGTCCTGGTTAGTCCTGGTTTAGTCCTGATTTAGTCCTGAGTTAGTCCTGGTTCAGTCCTGATTTAGTCCTGAGTTAGTCCTGGTTCAGTCCTGGTTTAGTCCTGATTTAGTCCTGAGTTAGTCCTGGTTCAGTCCTGATTTAGTCCTGAGTTAGTCCTGGTTCAGTCCTGATTTAGTCCTGATTTAGTCCTGAGTTAGTCCTGGTTCAGTCCTGATTTAGTCCTGAGTTAGTCCTGGTTTAGTCCTGAGTTAGTCCTGGTTTCAGTCCTGATTTAGTCCTGAGTTAGTCCTGGTTCAGTCCTGGTTTAGTCCTGATTTAGTCTGAGTTAGTCCTGGTTCAGTCCTGATTTAGTCCTGAGTTAGTCCTGGTTTAGTCCTGATTTAGTCCTGAGTTAGTCCTGGTTTCAGTCCTGATTTAGTCCTGAGTTAGTCCTGGTTTAGTCCTTTTTTAGTCCTGGTTCAGTCCTGATTTAGTCCTGAGTTAGTCCTGGTTCAGTCCTGATTTAGTCCTGAGTTAGTCCTGGTTCAGTCCTGATTTAGTCCTGAGTTAGTCCTGAGTTAGTCCTGAGTTCAGTCCTGATTTAGTCCTGAGTTAGTCCTGGTTTAGTCCTGAGTTAGTCCTGAGTTAGTCCTGGTTTAGTCCTGATTTAGTCCTGAGTAGTCCTGAGTTAGTCCTGGTTTAGTCCTGGTTTAGTCCTGAGTTAGTCCTGAGTTAGTCCTGAGTTTAGTCCTGGTTCAGTCCTGATTTAGTCCTGTCACAAATCACGTACCTCCACTTTAAAATCCCCACTACACCAATATTTTAAGGTATTTTTCAGCTATAAAACACCTGCAACTGAACAAACACAAGGTCCGAGATATGTTTAATGCTCTACTGGAACATTCCAGGCAAAAAAAGAAATAAAATCTCCATGGAGACAAGAAAATAACGGACCTTCCACCTTAGAAGTTACATAGTGCACCTTCAACTCCATAGTAACAAAACATTCCTGGTATGCGAATATATCTGCGTCTATACTTGTATTTACTGTCTAGTACTTCTCCCATCCCCAGTGCACTAATTTATTTAACCTCTGCATGTATTTTTGACCACAAGTTAATGAATTATGAATGTTTAGAGTCCATATAGAGGTTATTTGGCAAGCAGTATGTATGTCGTGGGATGTTAATGCACGTGTTTTGATCCCCATAGGTTTAAACTGTGGTCTTGCTTAGCCTATTTACTTAATTACAGCTAATTAGTTGTGCACGCTTAATTGAAAATGGCAAGAAATATGTTTTTCACCCCATTGGTAATTACTCAACAGGGGGTATGACCTATTCTAAGAAGCAGGGACCTTCAAAACTTCAAATTAGTAGAAGATATTCTGGTTCATCTCCCAGCAACAATCATGTGACTAGTCAACAGTGTTGGGAAGTAACAGATTACATGTATCGGAGTTAAGTAATCAAAGTACAAACTAGAAAAGCACTCAGAGAGCGCAGACCTCCGCCAAGGACTACCCCCAAACAAACAAACAGACAAACGCCGGCAAAAACATAACCTCCTTGGCGGAGGTAATTATGAGTAACTGTATTCAGTTACAGTTACTGTTACGGTGAGTGGTAATTGGATTACAGTTACTTTGTTGAAATAAATGGATTACATGGCAGTATTTTTCAGTTTTCCTGTTTTCACATTTTGGGCTATATCCCATATATATCTTTTTACCTCGGCCAAGGAGGTTATGTTTTTGCCGGCGTTTGTCTGTTTGTTTGTTTGTTTGTTTGTTTGTCTGTTAGCAACATAACTCTAAAGGTTATGGACCGATTTTGATGAAATTTTCAGGATTTGTTGGAAATGTGAAAAGGAAGAAGTGATTTCATTTTGGGGGTGATCCGGAAGAAATCCTGGATTCTGGATCACTTTGAAATTTTACTTAACATTGTGGTAAATGGGGCCAAAAATTTTGTTTCTCAATATCTCAGTTAATTATTGACCAAACCCCATGATATTTGACTCAGGGATGGACAATGGGATCCTCTTTCATATTCCAAAGGCTGATCCGGATCTGATCCAGAAGAATGATTTTATCGCAATTTATATAAAAAATGGGGGTAGTCCTTGGCGGAGGTCTGCGCTCTCTGAGAAGAACACAGAATGTAACCATCCTGTGCGAACGTATCTCCTCCTCTTCTATCAATAATATTTTTAATTTGGTTAAGTAAAGTCTGGGCTTTTTAGCAGACAAAACATCTTATGTTACGATATCCTAATCTTTGCTTCTCTACAGCAAATCAAGTAATCCAAAGTCAGATTATGTTACTCGCTTTAAGTAATTTAATGGATTACGTTACAAACTACATTTTGGGGTATGTAATCTGTAA